AGGGTTGCTTATTTTTCATGGAAAAGCACTCTGGGAAGCCATGGCTTGATGGGTTGTTCACGGTGGCTTGTGATGATGTCTCTATGCATCATCACAGGTTTTGGGGAAAGGCTGCAGAGCTGCCTAGAGAAAGCAGCAAAATCTCCTGCTGCTCTTCATAATCTTGCTAATGCTTCTGCCATTCTTCATCCATTGTCACTGTCTTCTGCCCTGTGCTACTAAAAAGCCAAAGGGGCAGATGCAGGAGAGAATCCCACGTGTGTTAGCAACTTTTTATGGCCTTGCATAAGTACGCAAATGTGAAAGTTCACCAATATAAAATTTGTGTAATTTCCCCCTCAGCCTTCCCTGCACGAGCATGACTGTGACCACGTCTGTTTTCCCTGCACGAGTGTGATCACATCCATCTCCCCCCACAAGCACGATCATGTCTGTCTCCCCCACCCCCACACACAAGCCCAATTGCGGACATTGTAGCTATGTCCCTTGAATATGGACATGCTCTTCTCCACCTCTTCATAGGCTTCTGCTGCAGCCCAAGCGAGCGGAGCAAACATATTTTATTATTATTTTATTTTAATTCATTTTAATTATTTTTTAAAATTATTTTAATTATAATTAATTTTTAGTGTGCAGTGCAGGAATTAGTGCATAGGACTATTTAGTGCATAGGAATTTGTTCAATTCTTTTTCAAGTCCAGCCCCTCAACAGTCTGAGGGACAGGGAACTGGCCCCTTGTTTAAAAAGTTTGAGGACCCCTGGTTTAGAAACTTCCAGATTGACATATATAAGACTGCACTTCAGAGATTGGATCTAATGATACCCTTTCACTAGTGGAATAGACATCACTGAAGGATCATGTTCTCCTTCCCATCTGTGCCCCTACATGCCTCTCAGATCTTCTTTGAAGGGCTTGGGCAAAGCTCTGGAGCAGATTTGGGTAGCAGTGTGGGTGATTTGCAAACCATAGCATGCTTAAGAGGAATTAAGCCCCACTGAGATTAGTCAGATTTATTTCTGAATAAACATTTAGTTTAGCTATTTAATTCATTTTATTCAGCATGTTTACAATCCTAAATATGCTTAAGATTATACTATTAAGCAGTGCAAATGACATGGAAATATATATTCAACCACTAGGTAACATGGGGGAGATTTTTAAAATATACATTTGTAACTCCATTGGTTGTCTTCCTTTTTCCCTTCTTCCACACAAATGGCTCATGTGCGTTCTTTCCTTTGTCCCAGTAGAGTCTCCTTGGCTTGTAATGGTTGGTCAGACACTGCAGGCTTTCCCACCTGTGCAGCTGTTGTTGTTGCATACTAGGTTGATCTGTTTGGTACATCCAATCCAGTTCTGTCTCCTCTGATTGCCAGTTTAGGTGCTCAGCATACTGGTGAATGCAGGGTGAGAACAAAAAGTTCTGGAAACTGAAAGCGGTTCTTCCCCTCATTTTATTTAAATACACATTATTTTTCCATTTATTTAAATAAATATCTGTTTATCTCCTCTCTGTGACCAGGAACCCTTTTTACAATATTAGGTCACAACATCATGAATGTGCTAGGCATCAAAACCAGTATTCCTGATGCCTTATACAGGGTCTACAGGTTCACCTAGCCCAGTATTTTTGATGCCGATGGGCATGGCACCCCGGGGTATCAAGGCAGACGTCTTCCACATCATCACTTCTAACTGTCCCCTTTCTCTGAAGATACCAGGCATTAAACTTGAGACACTGTACATGCAAAGTACATGCTCTGTGGCTAAGCTACTCCCCTTCCTGCCAGCTCTAAGAGCTACTAGCAAACACAATCATTGGTCTCCAGGGGAGGGAGTTTTTCAACAAAAAACGTTTGCTATGTATGTCAGGGGTACCCCTGCCCAAAGCACAGGAGTAGAGCATAGACTTTTCATGGAGAAGGCTCCAAGTTCATTCCCTCACATCTCCAGGTACAGCAGGAAAGGATCTTGCTTGAATACTTGGAGAGCTGCTGCCGGTCAGTGTTCACACTACTGGGCTGGATTTGAGCAAGGTTCAGTATCAGGCAGCTTCCTGTATTCCCTTCAGGGGAATCTGCTCTGGTGTCCAGCAGGTTTACCTTCTCGGTGATGATAAATATCCTTCAAAGCCAGTATGCCAGTGTGGAGTGGATTGTTGGACTGAGGACCCTGGAGACCACTTGGCCGCTGGGTGACTTTGGGCCAGCCACACAATCTCAGCCTAACCTGCCTCACAAGGGTGTTGTTGTGAGGATAAGATAGAGTAGGACCATGTAAGTTCCTTGGGAGAGGAAAAGGTAGGATATAAATGCAATGCCACAATTTTAACTTTGTGACTTGATGGGATGGAAATGACTCTTGGTAACAAATGACAAATAACATTTTCCATACTTCTCAGTCTGTATACACAGCCTACATTCAGCAAGTCTGTAGAGCACCAAAAGTACTATCGCAAGCTACAAAAAGCCAAAAGAAGTGTTTTCAGTATTATTATATTATATATAATTATGATGTCAGTTTATAAGGAGCATTTCAGATTTATAGACGGAAGATATGGAACAGCATGACAGAACTGAATAAAACATGTATACAAATGATTAATGTTAAAAACAGCTGGCAAATTTCCACAGTTGCTACATAATTAAGATACATGACGACCTTGTCTAGTTCCTCCCATTTTCCCCGTCTCCAGGGGTTTACTGAAAACCACAGTACAGTTTGTTGATCACATCTGTTAGTAGTCACTTCAGAACTATTCTCATGGGGTTTGGCTTTCTCAGCACACTTGCTTCTTTCACAATTACTTATTTACTTTGTAGTGCTGGTTTGTTCCCAGTATTTACATCTGTGCCCCTACAGCCTCCCACAACCTTAGTGGCAGAGTGAATGATGTACACAAACTGTATTTATGGCATCTTAAGTGATGGCATTGTGCTTTGCTTTTACAGCAGATTCCCTAATGAAAATGAAATTCTAGCTTCTCTTTGGGTACCATTCCAGTTACCAGTTCAAACCTATTTTCTTGTCATCTGTCCAGTTAAACCAAAGTGCTTGGGTGAGATTATGCAAATCTGCAAAACTCCCAAGTAGTAGTATCACATATTAGGGAAGGAAATTAATACAGATATTTCACATCTGTATTAATATCTGTCCAACCATATTATCTGTCCAACCATATTATCACAATTTCTGTCTGACCATTTGTTTGTTGGGCAGATTCCTTAGGATGGGTGGAACGTCTCTGTTCACCTGAAAGTCTTTTGTGATCATTCTTTACAAATGCTCAAAAACCCTTGAAGTCTTTTGTGGCTACTTCCAAGGCTGGTCAGTGGTAAGCTGGGTTTCTTTGTCAATTCCTTTGCAGCAATAAATAGGAGGGGTTCAAGGGGCATTGCTTATAATATGGAAGACTGGCATGGGAGAGAGCAATGGATTTGCATCTGTGTTACATTTTATCTATTTCACAAAATGTATGAGTTGCTTATATTAAGGACATTTCTAAGTAATATACAAAACAAGTCTTCTTACAAAGAGTAACATTGCCTCCATGTTGGAAATGGTATGTTTCTAGTAAGTGTCAAAAGCGCAGAAAGGTTGGCCCTTGCCTAATTTGCTAATGGTAGGGAGTTTCATAAAGTGGTGCTATGATACTAAAGGCCCTATTCTGGACTTCTGAAATCTTGGCTGCCACCATGAGTGTATCTTTTGATGAGCCCAGCAACCAAGCAGGGCAGTATTGAATCAGGCAATCTCTTCAATATCCTAAGGTCTGGCCCTCCCATGAGGCAGGGTGAATCTCCTGCCCCAGGCAGTAAATTCAGATTCCACAGCCAGGAGTCCCAATGCTTCTGCTGATGACCTGTTCCTTTCAATGACTGTCATAGAACCGGTGTTCTGGAAAGCCCTGCTCCCTGCTTTCTTGCTGCTCTAAGGCTGCAGGAGTAAGTAGCCATCGTGGCTCTCCAGTGTCTGTGCCGCACTCTGAGTAAGGCATGAGCAGATGGCCCCTCCCAGCTGTAGCAAAGGCTGCAGCAAGAGAGCACCTAGGCACAGCTTGCCACTGAGCATGACCAGCCCAGATGTCACACTCTGAGAGGTTCTTTTTCAGAATGAAGCATCGGCAGGAAGGTGACCCTGCAGATTCCCTGTGCTGCCCCAGAGAACCTCCCCACCAAAGCTCACTCAGAAAAGGACCCCTCAGGGTGACTTACTGAAGAGATGGCCACTCCTGGCAGCTACCAAGCCAACTCAGACTCCTCTTGGTAGTGGCAGCATGCTCCCCACTCCCCCAGTGGCAGCAAAATATTTCCCACTTCAGATGACAGGAGGTCTTGTCCCAGTTCTGAGTATCCTGGTCCTGAGCTGGCCCTATATCCAGGCCTTATGTGGAACCAGAAATGGATCCAAACTTTTCTTTCATACAGAAGTGTTTGCTTTTCAAACATCATCACTACCTCACAGTTTGAATACTACATTGCAGATGGATGGATGGATGGATGGATGGATGGATGGATGGATGGATAATCATTATCCATATTTGAGGTGACTCTCCTCCAGAGTGTTTTTCACATTAAAAATAATTCCATAGGACAACCTGTCAGGTCATCCGCTATTTATATCCTTTCTGAAAGTAGTAAATACAGCATTTTACATCAGAATTATCCAATTGTTCCCTGAAATGGGATGAATTATTGATATTATTAATAGAATGCTGAGGTAGGAAAGAAGTTTGATGCCTAGCCCAAGTTTATATTCAGTAGCAACTTGCCTTTTTCAAACCAATTACTAATATTTAACACATCTTTAAAATCAGCACTGTTGTAGACAGTAGGTTGTATTACATTTTGGGTTCACTAAGGATGTTTCAGATTTATTTTTGGACAAGGTGGAAGGAAATGCGGTATGTCAACTAAGCTTATTTAAAAACAATAAAAGAAGTGATGAAATTAGCCTTCTCTTCTAAGTTTTTTGTTTGTTTGTTTGATTATTATCCAGCTGCTACATTCATGGAACACTGGAAGAGAAAACAGATGCGTCTGAACTACAGATGGGATCTCACTGGGTTTGAAGAAGAGGAAGTAAGTTAATTTTATCATATGCTACTGAATGGTTGTTATGTGTGTTAAATGATGGTTCATTTCCAGCTGTTCACCCACTGGAAAGGAAAATCCTGCACATACACTATTTCTAAGTTTGGGAAGGGTGTGTTAGTAGCATGTCATGTTACCATGGAAGCATAATGTCAGTTACAAAACAAAGGTCACACCTAGTAGTGTAGGCATTAAAGCATGCATAGTTCACAAATGATTTCCTTAATGTAAAAAATATATTAAGAGAATCCACTCATTAAAAGGGATGGAGAAATCATGTAAGAACTGTGCAATTCACTCAGTTTTAAGGATAATACACCCATGAATGCAGAGTTTACAAGCCGTCAAATTGTACTTTCTGTGCAAAGTCAAATTTCTTAAATGTATGTTATATCTAGCATGTTGAACAAAAAGGGAAATAATGCAACCCACTAAATTATGTACAAAATTAGTGCTGGTGTACTTAAAAATACAAAAAAGGAAGGAGGGAAGGAGAGAGAGAGAGAGAAAGACAGAGAGATCATTTTGAAAGTATGTATACAAGTATCTTTCTTTTTTAAAATAAAAAGGTTTGTTTTCACTATTCATTTTGAAATGTACAGTTCTCAGGACATCAGGTAGCTTCTTCAGTTTAACTTATTTATAAAATAATATATCGGCTTGCATATTAGGATTTTCTTCGGTTAGTGAGGAACTGTTACAGTGTTACAGCCAATTTTTTATAAATAGTGTAAAACCAAGGGGTTATATCAGATTTAAGAGAGAGTTCAGTGCATTTACACAGGATATCTTGTAGTTTTTGTTTAGATGCTTCAATCATTGCCTGTTACAGTTAGGAAAGGCGTAGGAACCTAAGAGCTTCTCACTTTTCTCAGCTGCCACAATTTCCTCCAAATTTATTTTTGGAAGATACAGTTGGTGGCTTTTGCTCAGATTCAGTATTAGGGCCACACTGTGTATTATACAGAACACTTCAAAATGAAACAATTCAAGTGGTCCATGGAGAAGAAGGGTGGGTAGGAAGACGTTACTAAATCATTTCCCTTGGGCTGCTTTGTCCTCTGCAGCAATTGTTCCAGGATTGTGAATCTGTTGTACCTTTGGGTTTCCTTCTAAATTTAATTGTAGTCTTTGTGCACGACGTCTCCAGTATTATAATACTTACCCATCATGTTTTTAAAACACTGGTGAGCAGACAATCCCTAGCAGCAAGGATATTCATCCAAATCTTGTGGGCAGCTATGTATTAGCAGCCTACCAGCTAGTATAATATAGAATAGTACAGTAAATATGAAATCCGTATTGATTAATTGTATAGGTTTTAGTTTTTCAATTACATCACACTCATTTGTATAGGAATAAAAACGAGCTCTGAAACAAATTTTAAAACCCTTGTTTTTAGATCAGGCATATGTATGTTGTACCAGCCATCATCTTAGGTGCTCACTCCTTTGTGTGAGAGAAGGGAAGTTTCTCCTCTTTTAGATGGTGTTAGCCATCCGCAGTTTGTTTCAGCACAGCTCCAACTATTGGGCAGTATAGAAATATACTCTATTGTTCTTACTGCTTTTGTTGGGGTTGCTATTATCGTTATGATTATTTGCTAAGTAATTAATCCAGAATATCATTTTCATCATAAAAGTTTCTTAATTGATTGATCTAACAAACTGATTCATAGACCTTTGCATGCCTAATGTTTTTGGTCTGTTATCTCAAAAGTCCTTCAGTGGTACCTAATTCTTCTAAGGCCCTGATCCTGTTGTCTGCTCACATGGCCCTGTGCTAATATAAACTACATATTTAGGACTGAGACCTAACCTACTGAATAACAATAGCAGAATGTTTTTATGGATACCATAAGACAACTGTTCTTTTATTTTTGGTACCTTGTTGTTAGCTTACATGAAAGGAGGAAGGATTAACTGTATCCTTCTAGTGGCAAATATCTTTCAGGGTTATGTTCAGTTCTCTCTACTGTGATAGCAGCCTGTGACCTGAGATAACTGCTGTTAATAGAATGTATTTTATTTTTCATATAACATGCTCCAATCCTGTTAGTTGAGTCCTATGAGCAAGGCACTTGAACATGAATTAAGATCCTACTGCAAACTGGAAAGAGCTTAATACTGCAAGATAAAATCCCCAGGAATGCTTCTGGGGGCAAGTCCTATTGAAATGAGATGATATGCTGGAGTACTGCCACACAATTGTTCTTTCAAGTAGTTATTTATTTCAGTAAGATTTATATAAGAGAGGATCACACACCATGTAGTTAATTACTTGACATCACCTAGGCTGTTGACCATCATACTACTTAAACTCATCCATACTATTCTGATCTTGCTGCAGTAAGATGTCTACCATGCTATCCGTACATCCTTCAATATAAATACAAAAGACAGCCATCTCCCCAAAGATACTTCTATGTATCTTCTAATCCCTTCATCTACAGTCAAATGAATAACAACTGTATCCAATGTGTGATTTTGCAACAGTGATGTAATTTTAATTTTTATGTTTTTTGTGTTTTTTATGGTTTCCTGAAGGAGGCAGTCAAGGTTTGGAATTACTATTTTTTTGTAATTTCTCTACCTTTTTATCTATCCAGTGGTGAAAGATGCCTTTTGATCTCACCTCATTCTTTTTCCTAGTATCTGATTTCCTTTAGAGCTTACACTGCTGTCATTCTTCCTTCTTCTACACACACACACCCTGTGATGGGACTTTTTCATATTCATTCTCATCTTCAATATATTTTTGAAGGTATTTTCTGAATCTTTTGGCTGTCTCATTCCTTCAATTGCTGACTGTTTTCCAAATGTTTTTCCAATGTGTTTGGCTAATCTGAAGTGTAATTCTTTGACAAAATAGATCAGCTTAATTTATAGGAGGCTCATTTTAAGATATCCACGATCTGGAAAGTTAATCCTATTGCCACCCTACCTCCTGAAATACTTGCTGTATATTCTGTAATATCAGATAATATTGCTCTATGAAGTGCCTAGACTGAAATATTTTCACTGAAAACATATCTGAAATTTTCAGATCAAGCACATTCTATAACCTGAAGAGCTTTGTAGATTGTGCCTGATTTGATTTGTTCTTTCCTATCCCTAGCAGGGAGGTGCGATGCAGTGCCACATTGGAGGCAGGACCAACTTGCAGCAAAGCAGTAGTTACTCTCCATCAGTTGTGCCAGCACAGATTTAGGCCCGTAGATTTACTAGAATACCAGTAGTTAATGCTGGCATTAATGCAACGGGAATTAATGCCAAGAAGAAGAATTTAAGATTAAATTACAGCAGGACATTGACTTAGATTGGCCCCTGTACATTTGAAATAGTAGACAATGGGTTGCATTGCTTACTTGCATATATGACTTATTTACAGGATCATCCAAGGGCTGAGTATGAAGCCAAAGTATTAGAAAAATCACTAAGGAAAGAATATAGAAATAAAGAGGTAAGCCAACAATATACAGTTAACATTCATAGTCAAGGACTTTCCCATTTATAATATTCATAATGCAATAACAACCAGCTCTATCCCACCTCATTAACATTCTTTAACCATGTACAAAGAAAGAAAAGGTCAAGATAGAGTGAGCAGGAATAAGAGAGAAGAGAGAGGACAGGAAGAGAATGAACTCACAGTCAAAGCAGTCTTTGGGGTAATGAAAATGTGGGTTCATCTGAAATTTAGTGGGCATATGAGCTGTTTTAAGTTTCCAGTGATTTTTGAAACATGTGCAGCCTTATTCTATGTATATTCTCATAAGTTGCAAAAGAATTCAAGGGGGTTTATTCCCAAGAAAGTGCCTAGAATTTTAGATTTAATTTATCTAATAATGTAAATTAGCAGCTGTGAAATGATCGGCTTCAAAAGAGTTAAGCAGAAACCTGGTTGTTTATTCAAAGCAGATCCATTTGTGGGAGTCTGTAAAACTAGTGGGACTTCTCTCTTTTAAAAGTGGAATTGATCATGCATCCCAAAATGTGGAAGGGTAAGAGTGAAGAACCTGTCCATGTGACCCATCCAACATCATTGCCCAGAGGAACTGTGGCTCATTACATGTAGAGATGCTGTGTGCAGCCTCCTCTGTGGGCACTTTATAGTCAAAGGGGCCCCTGTTGACTGGTTAGTTTCTCATGCAACACATAACTAGGGAATTCCTCCACGAAGCAGTCCCTTGGACTGACTAGATGTAAAAATATCTTGTGACATTGACTTCTATAAGCAAATTATGTGCTGTGTTCTGGCTTTCATCTGCATTCAGACATGCTCCCTAAAGTGATCCATCAGACCCATTAGTTGGCTGCAGTTCTGATGGCAGCATAAATGGGGGTTTTTGTTTGTTTGGAAGGTCATTCTGCCCAGCAGAGGACATTCTGTTTTGTTTGCACAACTTAGAGAATGCATTAATTCTTCAATGTGCTGTTACAAACATGACTACATGGATGTCACAGATTCTGTGAGAAACTTCATGTGAAATCTAGGCATAGCTTACTGTTGATCCATACACAGGTTTCTTGCTAGTTTGTTTTAAAGAAGTTCTTCTTGTAGGAATGTTGCAGTCTGAACTATGCTAATAAATAAAGTGAGTGGGTATCTATGGAATGCCTGAAATCTTGTGTATATATTAATTGGATGTGTTAACTTGTGTCCACTTGTATCCAGTGGGTCTTACCCTCTGATAAGGACACTAAGGATTCTCGTCTTGGTCAAAGAAAGAGAAAATAAGGAAGCTGTGAACTGCTGCCAATTTGTCTGGAGCTTCTATAAGATGAGATTTCAAAGTTTAGCTTGTCCAAAATCAACAAGTAACCCCTCTCATTCAGTTTCCCAAGAATAAAGTGTTTCCAGAAATGCAGGTTGACTGACTTCTGGTATAAACTCCCAGAGATAATCTAACCGAACTCTGAGATCAGGCATATCATTTCTTTTACTTCAAAGTCTTAAGCAATGTTTAGATTTTTTTTATAAACCAAACAGTATAAATCAGTAGTTAACCCTGATTTTACTGACTATGTATGCTGGGTTCAGAAAACTTAGACCAGTCACAGATGCCTGGCAATTTACAGAAAGCTTCTCTTGCTTCATTTTTTAGGTTAAGAACTGCCTGAGGTGCTAATTTCATTTAATTTGTTTTTGTTAGATGGATGTTCTGAATGTGGCTGTACTCAAGAATCAAAAAATTATCAGTTTATGATACCTGAGGTTTAATCCTTTGAATCACTGCATCAGCAGGGAAACATCCATAATGCAACATGGGCATCTTACTGTATTGCACTGTGGTGTTAGGAATGGGCTGATGCAGCAAGTCTGAGCTCAACAGACCTGCCTGCTTAGATCCAATGATCTAAAGTGGGTTGACTCAAGTCTTTTTCCATGGACTTCCATCTCTAAGACAGGTCACTATTTGCATTTTTCTTTTTAAACAATAAGGAAATACACACAAATACATTATTTTCATCCATCTGCATAATTTTCACCCATCTGCATAATTTCTAACACAATTTGCACAATTTAAACTAGGACTGCATATTTCCTGGCTTCCAATTTACACAAATATACACAATGTACACAAATATATGATCCGCACATTTCTTAGTATTTTTTAAAAAGTGCACCCATCTTAGACATGCCCCATCTTACAGATGGAAGTCTGTGAGCTGGCATAACTCACATAACTGCAAGCCAAAGCCAGTAAAGGGCTAACAAAAGAAGAATCTGGGGGCAGAGGGATTGCAAAAATCTACGAGATTTTTTTATCTCCCGATCAAACTTGTCATGCATCTTTAGTGCTAGCACCATCGTCTATCCTATCAAGCCACACCAGTGATGCAGCCTGTGGTGCCAGTATTCATGACCATGCATCTTTTCTACCACCATATCAAGCTTATTACAAGTTTCACAAATGGGCGAAAATGAAGTGTTTTGGGAGCAGGTTTGGCATTAATTACCTTACCATAAAAGTTTTTCTGCTTTCACTGAGTCAGCTGCATTTATGCACTTAGTATTTTGATAGTAAGATGTTAAAATTGATGGATATTGTCCACTTGTCAGACTTAGGATTTAGATACACTAGTAGAGAAGCGTGTGTGTTCTGTTCACTGCAGAATCAGAGAACAAGCATGCTGGTTCATCTATGTTCCAGAAATGGGTTATGGAATGGCTTACCTAATGCTCAAGTCCTGCATTTTATGTAGCAGCGAAGTACCTCTCACAATCAGGTACTTCACCTGCCCAAATATTTCCAGACTCCTTTGAAATCAAACCCCACACTGAAAGTACAAGCTTTTGGAGCAACCCTGATCTTCTAGAAAAGTGATGTGATTTTTTCCCTCCTTGTCCTAAAGGGGTTTGCAAATGCTCCAAGGTTCCCAAAAGTGCAGAATGACAGCAGAGATACAGCACTAAGTATGAATTGTTGCTGAATTTGTGAAATGAGAGAAACCTGTATCAGCCAAGCTTTGCTCCACCACCATTTTTGCCAGCACAAGACCCATTCACTTCAATAACACTTAGATGAACGGAATATCCTGGAGACATGAGAGAGCAATCCATGGCATCTACTTCCAAGAAAACATAGGAAGAATCAGGATGGCCTCTGCAAAGGGATGTCTTCCCTTATTAACCGATTGGAGGCCTTTGAGAATGAAAGCAAGCATATGAATAGAAACAATCCTAGATTTTATATACCTTGATGTTGAAGAAGGTTTTGACAATATCCCTCAAATATTTTTCTTCATATAGTTAGAACATAATGGGATGATAGGAAACTTCTTAGTCAGTAAGTAAATGGTTCAATATCCTATACAGCCTGTACAGGGTGCTAGCAGTTCTTAAAGCAACCAGAAATTAGTGGAAATGCACGATCCTGGAATGGGGCAAGTCAGCAGAATTCACAGAAGAGAGCTCCTGTCTAAAAAATAGCATTTGCACTAAATTTTAGGCTTGTATTACTAATCCCCAGTTGTGCTACTGCTGGGTCCTGCTGGAGCCACAGAATAAGAAATATAAAGTCAGAACTGGATACTGCACTTGGTTTATTAGAAACCAGAGAGTGGGAGGGAAGAGACATTGATGTAAATCACACCAAATTATTTAGGATAGTGAAAATCCAAGCAGACCTGGAGGGGTCTCGCTAAAAGAGGAAAATGGCAAACGAGAGACACTGCAAACAAGTGCACAATGACACGAATCAGGGCAAGAAGCCCTGTAACCACGTATGTCATTATGGGAGCTTAACTGGCATGACTAAGCAAAGAGAAGTGGAGGTTGTGTTGAACAGCTGAATGGAAACATCAACTCAGTGTGCTGTAGTGATGAAAAAGTGGATTTGATGGTAGATCCTAATTAGAAAGGACCTGAAAAAAACTGCCAGTGCCATTAATACCTTCAAATAAATCTGTAGCGTGTTTGGCATGCTGTGAACAGTTGTGCTGAGCCCATCTCCAAAAGGATATCATGGAGCTAAGAGTAAAGGGCTGATCTTCCAGACTGATTAATCTGGATTTCTTCAGCTATTGTGCAGTATAGAAATGAAAGAATAAGAAATATGATATGAATAATCCATACTGACTAATCAGCTTCCTCTGTAAACATGCCCACCCCACTGCTCACCACTGATTCCAGATCACAGATACATTAGTTTATTATTATTATTATTATTATTATTATTATTATTATTACATTAACAAACCTTCCCACTAGCCCATAGGGTAGAGTTTAAAAGCTCTAGTCATCCCATTATAGGATCTTATGAGAGTTTGCTGCTTACTTCCTTCCATTATAAACATCCAATCCTTTTGCATATTGTGAAAATTTAGACTGGTATGAATCCTATTTTTTTTATAACCCCTTGCTCTGTAATGGTTTTGTTGTTGCTTTGCTAGATAATACTGGTCATTTTCTTATGATCCACTTTATATTTTCTCCCTTATAGTAATTTACTTCATATATGAAGACATAGCATTGGCCCATAACAAGTAACAAACAGCTTCTATTTATTTTTAAGCTGTAGTGTGTCCAGATTCTACAGAGGGTATTGCTTTCTTTACCTATATGAGTCAATGCTTTGTAACAACCATACTGCATGATCCTTTTCTGTTTCCTTTAAATGCCATCAGAAGGGCCAGCAATTGCCAGAAGAGGCAGCCAACAAATGGCGGCAAAGAGTTAAGAGAGTCATGGCCGGGGTGAAATTGGTACATTTCATTCAAATTTGTGGACACTTTCTGAACTATGAATAACTATAGAAAACACAACATGATTTTTTTGTTTTGTTCTTTTGCTCTGTTTTTGAATATGCACATGCCAGTCGTTTCCCCTCCCTTCCCTTCCTCTCCTTTGAGTCTGGTTTTGGCCTCTCTTTGGCATGGCACTGCATGGTTCCCCTTTACATACTGAATGGTGTGCCCCTTTTGCAATGGTGCACGTGCCTGCTCTTATTTTTCCTGCCAGACAACATGCATGTGATACGCATGGAACATTAAATGCTTGTTGTTCTTACAGTGGCCTCATACATGTCATGTCACTATATTATTAGCAGATCATTCCCTGTCTTCAGACTTTACAAATAAAATAATCTCGAGGGTGTTATATTGACAAAATTGGTGATCATTCAGTGGCCCATGAGAATAAATGAACAGATATGATCAGATATTACTGCTACTGTATCTGAGTCCAGAGATGCTGCCTATACCTTTAAGAGTCCTGGAGGGTCAGGAGCGGGTACTGATACTTATGATGCTGGCCAGACAATCAGATTCCTAAGTTTTACTATATCCAGGAAAGCATCTGTGTTTCTTCTCTCTCGGGATGAGGAAGACAAAGTGCATAATTAGCACACTCCACATTAGGATACTGTAAACCATTTGTTTTCACAGCCCCCTAAATGTCTGCTTTTGGAAAGATACTTGGCTTCCAAGAATTGCATCCTTTATTGCCTGTCTGCCAGTGGAACAGCATCCATGAGCAAAGCACATTCCCCTCCCCTTCTGCAGACCCTCAGACTCTCTGAAACTCCGCTCTGGAGGGCTGGAGGACCGCCTGGAGCAGGCTGCAAGGAGCTGCAGCAAGGGGGAGGAGATAGGAAACCCCTTTGTGCAACGCAGCCTGTTCCTGCAGTGTTGGAGGTAGTTGTAGAGCCCCTGCAAACTGATGCACGGATTAGCTCTATTTGGAAATATAGTGATTTACTGACTTCCTCTATTCAGCGATGATTCAATGAAATTCGCTGAATTGACCCTACACTGTTCTGATGTTTATATCTTTTTTAAATGTTTACTTCAGATCTTGTGTCTTTGCACTACTACCAAGTTATGCATCTGATTGCTTTACTACACATCAAAGTCTGGGTGACAAGCACAAATGAAAATGTTTAGCTTCTACATAGTGCTATATTAAGTTGAATTGCTGCTGTATTTTATTTCATGCCTAGACTGAAAAAGAAAAACTGACTTGGAAAGATCGTTTTCCAGCCTACTTCACAAATTTTGTGAGCATTATTTTCATGGTAAGTATTAAGTAATAAATATGAAACGTCAATGATACTGCCAGATTTTTTCCAACTGTGAGAAAAGCTTCATAAGATATTAAAGTTCTTTCCCATGAGCTCTCCTACTTGTTTTTGGTTATACTTTAAGTGGTTCAGGAACTGGAACATTTGTTACTAGTTTAGTTTATTTCCATTAATGCACCAATTTATGTTGGTCCTAGTGACCAGTAAAGTGCTCCTTCAGTTTTGTGGGGGTTTTGCTCCTTTAGGAATCCAAAGGACTGCCGTGTGTCCAGATGCTGTTTTTCCCTCCTCAACTTGCCTGCCTCAGGACGGTGTCATCTGAACTCTTCACTTCGTTTTGCGAAAATAATGTTTTGGAAGCGTTAAAGCAAAGCCTCCCCAATCCCAAAATCTATGAAACTTCACGGAACTTTAAACTAGTTGCTGAATGCATTCAGTGGCTCAACAGATGCTTGAAGTCTTTTACATTTAATAGCTGATCATGCCGCCTAACTGTGTGCCTTTGTTTCATTATCTTTCCTTAGCAATCCAAAATTCCTCTATATTATTATTATTATTATTATTATTATTATTATTATTATTATTATTATTATTATTATAGCATTTCTATGCCGCCCCTTGCCGAAACCTCGGGGCGGCTTACAACATGATAGTTGCAGTGCTGTTAGGAGTTTCAGTACTGATTTAGGCACATCATTTTAGGACCACAATACAGAAAATGCGTAAATAATGATATAAATTAGGAGCAGCATTTTTTAAAAAGAGGAGTGTTCTAGCCTATGTGAGTTGTATGAGGGTATGCAAGTAGTTTGTCATTACAGGGGATACCATTGGGCTCGCAGGAGGTAATTCTTTATAAATATGTGTGTATGTTACAGAGAACACATGGCTTCCTTGTTACAACAGCTTCACTGGTCTATGGTTTGTTTCTGGGCTTAATTCAAAATGCTGGTTGTGTCTTATAAAGCCCTAGACAACTTGAGACCAACTTACTGCATTCCCCCATACAAGCCTGCCCAGAGGAAGCCCTCCTCTTGGTCCCTTTGCCCTCACAGCCTGCATGGTAAAGACATTGCAGGGCTTTCTCAGTGGCTGCTCCAGTCTTTGGAACTCTTTTATGAGGGAAGCTGTGTTTTTCAGCCTTTGACAAATAAACTGGTCTATTGGGTGGGTCCCGTTTTAATTATTTGATCACTGTATTTTAATTACATGCTTAATACACTCGTTTTAGATCTATTTTCACTTCATTGTAGTTTTTGCTTTTAGTACCTGTTGTAGCTAGGTGCCTTGAGTACCATTTCATTGGTGGAAAGGGGGGTGTAAATCAAATGCATACATAAGGAAGAAAAATGCATGAACTTGTACCTACATCTGAGGACTGTATGTGACCACTGCAATTTATTCACTAGTATATTGTAAAAATTGGGAGTTTGATAGCGACTGAATCATTGTGCTGCCATATTTTGTGGAATGTATGGTCTTAAAATCTAGATCCAGCTTTTAAAAATGATTGACAACTGAATTTTTTGTGATGGAGTATGATCTTTTTTTCTTTTCAGATTGGACTGACATTTGCTATTGTTTTTGGGGTTATTATATACCGAATCTCTACTGCAGCAGCTTTAGCCATCAGTTCCTCTCCAGGTGGCCGATCTAATGTTAGAGTAACTGTCACTGCAACGGCAGTGATTATTAATCTGGTGGTGATAATAATCTTGGATGAAGTGTATGGATGCATAGCCAGATGGCTGACCCAGATTGGTAGGTACAAATCCACATGTAACTTCACTAGAGAGTGGAATTCTATTAAACGACCTGTCCAAAGAGCATAACAATTCAGGTCTGGCTATGTAAGCAAAGCTACATAGCAATGGACCTCTGGCCAATGATAGAAAAAGATCACTTAGCATTATTACATGAACATTTTTCCAAAAAATAACTTTAAGTAAATTTCCCATGTATAATTAAACTAGACTAATCAGGGGACTCTTCAGTTCGGAGAACTAAAGCTTTCTCAAAAGTGGAGAAACATAATTCATCTTCATTTGTAGATGTTACTTCATGGGGACTATAAATCAAGAACTGAAAACAGAGTTGTCTAGACAGTGCTCTTCATGAGCTTCTTGTAGTATCATGTAGTGTGTGCGTCTGTGCATGCACACACAGAATTTATTTGAATTACTTATCTACCAATATGGCCAGATTGACTTGTCCGGTGTATGCAGTCCAATAATGTCATTGTAGGCGTCTGCTGGGAGCTAGAGGCCTTCTTGTTCCCCACTATGCATGCAAGGTCATTCATGTCCAAGACACACAAAGCATCAGTCCGTTTACTACATTAAAGGGTGCAGCATGCAGACCTAAAGCGCCAAAATTTGATTTTGCAGAGCAGAAGGACCAAAATTTACTTTCATTTCAATATTTATATCCTGCCTTTTTTCCTTTCAAGGAACTTAAGCTGGCACATATAATTCTCCTCCTTCTCTCAATCTTATCCTCACCACAGCAACCCTGTGAGGTAGTCGGGCTGAGGGTCTGTGACTGGCCCAAAGTTACCCAGTTAGTTCCATGGCTGAGTGAGGACTAGAACCCAGATCTCCTGAGTCCTGGTCCTGCCCTCGTAACCACTCTGCCACACTGGCTCTGTGTTACACTGCCGCTGAGACTGCCATTGAAAGCATCATGACCAAAAAAGCAGCTTACATAATCCAAGAACAGACTTCTGAATGTTTTGCACAATATGGTTAGAGTCTTACTCTTTTCCAGCCAATGTTATCTTACCATCTCAAGTGTACAATTTAGTCTCTAGATATATATAAACAGCTGCCTCAGAGACTGCATGGTGTTTAGTACAGCGATTACATAGAAGTCCACTATCACTACATTAGTGAGGCTGTGATAATTCATTAAAATTACACTATGATTTGACTTGCTGATTTAAATAGAACAGGCATATGAAAAACATCAAGAAACAAAGACAGACATACTACATGTCATTAGAATTCTCCAGCTTAATTGGTATATTGATTTTGTTTACATTTATTGGTTACTCCTTTTGCATATTTTTCCTGTGATTTTTGTGGGAAGAGTTTTCTCCCATTTTCATCTCCAAATATATTTGCCCTACTTTTAATTGGAACTATACAGATCAGTCCAAGTCTTCCAAACACTTAAAATTGGAAGACTCTAAAATGTACAGCAATTTGAATTAATCTTTCAAGCACATTTACAATAATGTTATTTATATCAGAGGTTCCAAAAACAGACAAGAGTTTTGAAGAACGTCTTATCTTCAAGGCCTTCCTTTTGAAATTTGTCAATGCCTACACTCCCATTTTCTACGTTGCTTTCTTCAAGGGCCGGTAAGTTACATAACAACTGAATTTCAATGCTTAGCTCCTATTTTATACTGACTCTGAGTCTTTGTTCAGGTATTGTGGCTCTCCATGGTCAACCATCACTTATAACACAGTTCCCAGAGTGGTACCCCCAGGCACTTGCAGTGAGTCCTCAATAGAGTCTTCAGTGTGGTGCTCAATGCAATTTCTTTTTATTGCATTAAAAAGAAATTAAAAATAGAGATACATACTAAGTTCATACATATATAATATAGATATAAATAAAACCCACAACTTTCTAGCAATTATATAGAGGTTTCAACAAAGACAGATTAAATATCCAAATAAGTATCCATTTGAAGGTGGTATATATATACCTCCTAGTAAGTGTAAAAAACATTTTAAGGCCTAATTCCAATGTATTATAGGAGCATTTATCATTCCAGTTTTGTAGTATCACTCATTTCCTATCGAAAAGGCTCAGAGAATCCACTGATCCCTCCCTTTGTTGATTTTCACAAAGGAGGTAAATAATTTAAAAGAATATGCACATTAGTAATTGTGAAAACAAAATTGAGAAAGGAGTTCGACAAGGCTGTATACTGTCGCCCTGCCTATTTAACTTATATGCAGAGCACATCATGAGAAAGGTGAGGCTAGATGAATCACCAGTTGGAATTAAGATTGCTGGGAGAAATATCAACAACCTCAGATATGCAGATGATACCACTCTCATGGCAGAAAGTGAAGAGGAACTAAAGAGCCTCTTGATGCGGGTGAAGGAGGAGAGCGCAAAAGTTCAACATTAAGAAAACTAAGATCATGGCATCCAGTCCTCTCACTTCCTGGCAAATAGATGGGGAAGAAATGGAGGTAGTGACAGATTTTATTTTCCTGGGCTCCAAGATCACCGCACACAGGGACTGCAGCCAAGAAATTAAAAGACGCTCCTGGGGAGGAAAACTATGGCAAATCTAGACAGCATACTAAAAAGCAGAGAGATCACCCTGCCAACAAAAGTGCGTATAGTCAAGGCTATGGTTTCCCCAGTTGCATTGTATGGCTGTGAAAGCTGGACCATAAGGAAGGCTGAACGCCAAAGGATTGAGGTCTTTGAATTGTGGTGCTGGAGAAGACTCCTGTGAGTCCCTTGGACCGCAAGGCGATCAAACTGGTCAGTCCTAGAGATCAACCCTGACTGCTCTTTAGAAGCCCAGATACTGAAGATGAAACTCAAATACTTTGGCCACCTAATGAGAAGGAAGGACTCCCTGGAGAAGAGTCTAATGCTGGGAACAATAGATGGCAAAAGAAGAAGGGGACGGCAGAGGATGAGGTGGCTAGATGGAGTCACTGAAGCAGTTGGTGTGAGCTTGGGTGGACTCCGGGAGATGGTGGAGGACAGGAAGGCCTGGAGGAATGTTGTCCATGGGGTCACGATGGGTCGGACATGACTTCGTGTCTAACAACAACAACAACAATTGTGAAAACTGTTTCAAAACAAAATTGATTTGTGTAATAACCTCCTTCCAAAAGGAAGCAATTCCTGACGTTGCCAAAACATATATTTAAGAGAAGCATTAGTTGTATCATACCACCAGCAATTAGCTGCATTCAGCAATTGCTTCTTAAATAGATGTTGTGGTATGTAGCAGACACAAAACCCAGTACTACTGATTTTGTTGAATAAGATGGAGCCTATAACCCATAACCCTTAGGAATACCTGCTTTAAACTGTGATGTTAGCAGAGTATTTACACAATATATCCCATAATTTAATATCTTAGCTAAACAATTTCCTTCATAATGGCATACAACTGACTTACCATTGAAATGGGTTCCCTGGTAAGGGGAACATCTATATACTGAAATAAACATTATTTTGTAGTTTGCATCAATATGATTTTTTTTAAAAAATCACATATATAGAAATTGGCATAAGTGTTTACATAACATAAACATTTAGGTTGCACAAAATGTGCTTTAATTTTTTCCCCAGACTTTTCAGGTCAAATATCTGTGGTCCATTGGAACAAAAAAAGGATCATAATGTCCTTTTTAGCTTTGTTATTTAAAAGTGCAATCTATCTAAATTAGATCATTCTCTAGATCAGAAAATAAGCATGAGAGATGTTTCAGTTTACATCAGAAAATGTTCTGATATGAACTGCAATGTTTCCAACACAAATTAGCTTAGCAAATTGGCCTTATTTGCCTAGAATATTTTTTTCCAGAAAAAAAAATCAATTCAAAATTTCAGGAAAACCTGCGCCACTAATTCCACTAAGATCCTATAGCACAGACATGCAGCAGCACTTTCTGTATGGCAGCACCAGACATTCAATATTATATGGTGATTGCAGCTGCTCTCTCTCCTCAGATTAGTTTGGGTGCACTCCCATGATGGTTAGACACTGTCTAGATGACCATTGGAAAATTCAAAGTCCCAGACCTAACCTTGGGAAAGCACTCCAAGATCTGAGCTGGGACTCTGTATTCCAAGTGCCCTTTCTCGTCTGTCACAGCTGGCCTGGTTCTTTTTCTCCAGCTGTGGCTCCAAATTTATAAATGCAACTTCAGGTGGATGTTGCAGTGGTCCTTGTAGATGATGAAGAGGGAAGGAATGGAAAGCCTCTGGATTGCAAGGAATCCTGGTAGTACCTCAGCTTCTCTTCCTCATGAGTGGGATACAACTTAGATGATGGGACCATGATTTGGAAGACAAGGAAACTACAGAGCCAATCCTCTCCTCCATACTCCTCCTGCCTTTCACAGGGGCCTCTAATCCTCTGAGCTCAGAGGGTTATGAGCAGCCACATTGGATAGTGTCTTTGCTTAAAGAAATATAAAACATGGCTTTAGCTTTTAAACTGTAAGATGTGTATGCAAGTAGAGTTTAGATACATGAGAATGTTCCTTTAAGGCCATGAAAGCATGTACCTATACAGAAGGCAAGACACATCTCTAATTATTGTTTCAAAATTTTCCTAGATTTGTTGGACGCCCAGGAGATTACGTCTACATTTTTCATTCATTTCGAATGGAAGAGGTAACTGCAGTGTATTTTGTGATTGCTTATTTCTGTTCTAGAAAGCACTTTGAACATTCAAGGTATAATGTAGCTCCTAATTTTCTTCTCTAATTTAGTGTGCTCCTGGTGGTTGCCTAATGGAATTGTGTATACAGCTGAGCATTATTATGTTGGGAAAACAGCTGATTCAGAACAATCTTTTTGAAATTGGCATCCCGTAAGTAGCCAATGACTACCTTCTGCAAAATGCATGCGCATGATAGAGAAAACATCATCTTTTCATCTTGTGTAACATAAAGATGGAGTGCAAGATAAGATCAGGCCATGCCACTGACACTATGAAACGGGTTTCCCACCCTTGACATGATTGGCATTTTGAAAAATTGCACTGGGGACCACCACAAATTGGATGCTGTAGTGAGGGGATGGGGATCAACCAGAAGAATTATCTGAGTGCCCCCTTTATATGTGTTTATATGCTTAATTGTCCACCCTGTCTAAGTACTACTCACCCTGGCTTTTCTTCTCTGTCTCTCTCTCTCTGACATTCAAATGGGCTCTTCCATGGGAAAGGCCCACCACCAAGTCCATTCTGCAAGCAGCACCCATCACTTGCAAAATAGGAATTTATTGCTTCCTCTAGGAAGCCCCAAAAACTTCTTTCAGGACTGGGATGGGTTGCTAGAGGTTCTTTATGCCAGTTCTGCCAACATGCCCAGTTCTAGCAAGAAAAATTTCCAGTCATTTCTGGATCTGGCTTCTCTCTCTGGCAACTCTTCCCATCTTGCGGCCTCTTTTCCCTTCTTTTTCTGACTTCTCTCCCTCCTCCTGATTTCTTCCCCCACCAACACACAAACACACATATCTCCCTATCCCTGTGAAAATAAATAGAGTAACTTCCCTAGTATCTGTGCTGAAAATCAGCTGGAGATGGGGTGAACGTCACTCCACCACCAAGGATTTTGTTGGCCCAGGAGTGCTTGGAAGTGTGTGGACTTTTCTCTCCCTAGCCATTTTTCAGCAACAAAAACTTATTTGACCTCCCTATTTCAGTTAATGGATGAATGGGCCCATTGGCTTAAATACAGGAAAGGAAAGCCCCCCAAAATTGGCTGGAGAGCGAGCAAAGGGCACTGTGAATCAAGGGTCTTTTACCATCCTCCCCAGCTGATTTTCAGTACAAAAGACATTTCCACCCTGTACAATTTATTGAAGAGGTTGCTCAATTTATTTTCAGAGGGTGAAAATAGCTCAATGGCCACCTTAGCCTGGTCTTGTGGGTACCACAGTGGAGATCCTTGCCCTAAAATAACATGCATTTACTTTTTATGACAATGTTATTAATATTTACTATTATTTCAATATGCTGCTTTTTAACTGTATGTTTCTCAAAGTGGTGTATAGCAACTCTTAATAAAATAAAAATTCTGAGAACATATTCAGTCAAAATTTTAGGTACACAGGATAGGAAGAGAAAATGCAAATAAATCTAAGAAATGAAGGCCTAGTAAGGAATCTGTAGCCTTCCAGATGTTGTAGGATTTTAGTTCCCATCATCCCTGGGCATTGGCCAACCTGGTTGGGGCTGATGGAAGTTGAAGTCCACCAACGTCTGAAGGGCCACTCATTCCCCTTCCATGTTCTGGTTCTTACAAAATAGCTCACAGTTTGTCTTTGCCCTCTTTAGGGAATACTGTGAGAAAAATTATTGATTCCATCCCCTTCAAATTTTATTATGAATTTTGGAAATAGGTAGACTGCAATCCAAGGAGCTGCTCTTCTCCCACTAGTCCTCTTCTTCTAATGTGCCTCCAAAACAAGATTCTTCTGGAGCTCAGAAGAACTCCAGGAGAGGCACTTCTTGGAGCCATGAGGAAGTAGATGAAACACAGGAGTCTTGGTGGGCAAACATGAAAAGGACTGTATATCTGAGGCATTGGATTGTGCCCACAAGTCCAGTAAAATAGATTTCATAATCAGTCGATACTTGCATACATTCCCAAGCAGTTTTGTTTTTCTGCATATGAAGTGTGGTAAAAGGGGGATATTTTCAAGCCTCCAAATGTGGTTATGAAACTTGCAAAAGATCTAAATGGATCACTGTTTTGCTTTCTGTTAGAAAAATGAAAAAATTTATACGCTACATGAAACTAAAACGACAGCGTCCCATAGACCATGAGGAGCATTTCAAGAAAAAACAACGCTATGAAGTAGATTATAATCTGGAGCCTTTTGCTGGCCTAACTCCAGAATACATGGAAATGAGTAAGTGAGAGTTCAAGAACTTAAACCAAAGTTCTCAAATTTATTTTGTTGAATCACTGATTAATAAATCAGGACCAGTTTTAATTAGTTGAAGGCCATTTTAATCAATGGGTAAATTTTAGTCAATGAGAGTTGATACCAAGCTTGTTTACTGATAACCTATTTGGGGTATGATACATGGCCGTAAGAGAGAATGAGGAAGAAATATACTAAAGGTGGCCTGAGTGTGAAGATCTGGCTGTAGTGTGCCCACTACTCTACCCCCAATAATAATGTCATACATTTGTGCATACACAAACATGCAGTCAGCAGCTATAATAATGCAAACACATTTTATATTACATATTTGAGTGCAAATAATCTTCCAAGCTTTCCTGAAAGCAAAGGACTGATACTGCTTCCATGGCAGACAATTCAAATAGCAGCTTTCCCTTTTACAATGTACAGCACAGACATATAACATACCACAGCTCTCGCTTACTCTCTCATTCTCTTTTCCTCACACACACACTCAGAAACAAAACCTATGCAGACTTAGTGCTTCATTAGACTCAACAGCCATATAGGACATACTTGCTGGCTGGCTGGCTGGCTGGCTGGCTGGAGGCTTTTTACTGTGTGAAAAGGACCAGGAAATGCCTTCCATTTTTCACTGGATGATCTTCGCCAGTTGTGAGAGCAAAACTAGAGAGATCTTTAGCTCCTGGAGGAAAGGCAAACCACAAATATACTGGAAAATCATAATTGTCTTACAATGTGTTCATAATAAGCCTTCCCAGCATGCAAAATGGCCATCTGTGCACTGCATTACTGTGAGCAATCCCTTACATGAATGAGACAAGATGCATCAAACCCGCCCCTTGGAATTTGTTCTTATAGAGACCCTGGGAGGGAGCATGAAGAATGATACCAAGTCCCATATTAAATGTTCAAAACTTGAACAAATGAAAGGTCCTCTGGCTCCTGATATAAACGCCCCCCTCATGTGCCTCCATGTTCTGCATGAACATCTCAATGGCAAAACAACTAAGAGCCTTATAGCACATTAGAGGCAAACAGATTATTCTGACATAAGCTTTCACTCTTTTCATCAAACAGGGAGAATAATTTGGGGATTTTCAGGTTTCTGTAAGGTACATTTGGGGCAAGAAGAATTCTAAACAGTGAGGTCAGAAAGAAATAAAATGCGGAAAGTATTTGATGAAGGATATGAAGCAAAGCATCCTTCTTTTCAATACATTCTTCACAACACACACACACACACTCACCCTATATTCTCCCTCCCCAAGTCATTCTACTGTGAGACCAGCTAGCATTTCTGAACTGGACTGCAGTGAAGTCATCTGTGACTCCCAGAAATATGAGTATAACAGCCATGGAGTACTTTGCAGTGCTGAACTGAATCATGCATCCACCCCAACATATATACACAAGGGCAGACTTTATTCGCATTAGCTTGCAAGGGGAATAAAAAGCCTCTTTTTTGTGTGCTCATGAAAAAGGACCTGTTCTAGGAAGACTTCGAAGTGCTATCATTCCTAATACCAGCTGTTTGGGGTTAGATATGCTACTGCCCAGTCACTAAAATTCTAGCTTTTTCTATTGTTTTCCCTGTCAGGAATCATTATTCTATGAGGTCAACACACACACAAAAGCAAGGAGTGTTCAAATGAAGCAGGAACTGCTTTCAGCAGACCAATCAGTATAATAGATATATCCATTGCCATATGTAACTTTTTTCACTGAGTGGACACACTGAAAAATGGTAGCAGACTCGTTTCTGACAAAACAGTTGATTGAAACCATTTCTTATTTCTAACAAAATGATCGGAATGTACCTATATTTTGCTCCATATCTCAGGTACTACAAGAGATTGCTTTGTTTGTTTGAAAGCTGACAATCAGGCTAGCTAATGGGTTTCCTTCCTTAACAGTGTGGTTAATCTATGTATGATGTGTTCTTGTGATTTTTAGCATCATTGAGCTGATAACATGCAGTATTCATCAATTAATTGGTTTAGATGGAAATTATTATTCCAATGAAATATGAAATCAAATTAAAGTTCAAGTTTGTGTTAGAAAATTTATCCAAGAAAAAAGCTGCACAATGAATTACTAGATATGGAGCATCTTAAACTATGCATTTTTGTTTGCCTATATAATTTTACACTTGCCAACAGGATAAATCATGGAATGAATGGCAAGATTAGATGTGCCCCATAGTTACTTGTCACGGTGGAACTGTTCCATTTGCTGTACAGTATTGGCTATAGCGGGACTGCTGAAGCAGTGTGCTTCAATGGAGTACAGAATAGCCCCATTTCCCTATACTGCCTTTTCCAATTTTCAAGTACTGACTTTTATTTTCAAAAACTGTGCCAAGCAGCTGACTCTGAAGTCCTTTCCTGAAGTTTTTTCATGAATAAAACAGTTGGCAAACCTAGGTAACATAATGTGATAAACACCTAAGTTGTAGAATGATGCATACTACTTGTGCATGTGAGGGTTTCAGCTCTTATTTCTGATGAGTATCTACAGCTTTAAAAAATGCATGCCATCAAGAGCAGCATAATATGCAGATTATACTAACTCCTTTTTAAATTTTCAGTTATCCAGTTTGGGTTTGTTACCTTGTTCGTTGCCTCTTTCCCACTGGCTCCCTTGTTTGCACTACTGAACAATATCATTGAAATACGTTTGGATGCAAAGAAGTTTGTCACTGAGCTTAGGAGGCCTGTTGCAGTTAGAGCAAAAGATATCGGTAAGTTGTCCACAAATAGCACAGTCACTATTTAATATTGGATTGTATGCAATGGAGGTGTTGCCTTGTGGGAAAACATCTGGGGCATCCCGTTTTCACTGATGTCCTCTACTTATTTAACCCACCACTACCACTGCCCAACGTGTCCTTGTGGGTTGGGAGATTCTCTGGAACAGAACGGTACAAGGAGACTGCAGTGCATGAGGGGAACATGGGTTGCTCCAATCAGCACAAGGGGAAGCATTTTCTGCAAAAGCAAAGCCACTGTTGGATTCATCCTGATTTCCAGATTAGGAAATTATGTAAATTTGACCTCAGTAGTGGGGGCTGTAGTTATTAGTATTCGCTTTTTCTTGCACTAAAGGAACTCAACGAACATAAATTCAGATCTGCATGATAATGTATGCTAAGAAGAGAATCAGCATAGAGGATATAGTATTGGTTCAGCCTTTCCCAAAGGTCATGGCAAAGAACCAGCTGTTCTTTAAGGAGGGGTTTCCAACAGAGCATTCCCACCAAGCCTCAGTTGGCAGCAGCCTGAAGAAGAATCTCAGATATAGAATGCAATGTGTAGGATGGTACAGGAGAAGCTATCCTTAAAATCACCAGGTTCCAAGCTGTTTAGGTTTTACAAGTAAGAACAAGCATCTTCAACCTTGACAACCCAAAGGATGAAATAGGTTGTAATGTTGCTGTGATATTATTTATAGTCATTAGCACTTATGACAGCAGTGTATAAGTCGTTAACAACCTGCTTGTCTTTTCCCAGGAATATGGTATAATATACTCAGAGGTGTAGGAAAACTTGCTGTGATCATAAATGTAAGTAACATTTTTGCAATTGGTAATTAATCACAATGATTTGCATTTGCTATTCGGTTACTCTGAATTGTTACATGGAAGGCAGCTAGTGTGATGCAGCTGTTCTAGCATTGGATATAGATGCAGGAATGCTGTATTCAGATTCCCATATGGCTGTGATGCTCACTGAGCACTTTGCTATCTCCCAAGTTAACCTTGGGGACTAAAACCATATTCTGAGCAATTAGGAGCAACAGCACAATATAATTATACTTTTTAACATCTTAACAGCTCAAATGTAATCTGCCATTTATTGCAAATGACTTTAAGAAACACCTTAGTAAGCAAACTATTATTTGTCAGTAAAGGGAATGGTTTTCCTGAAACTTTTGGTGTATAAGCTTCCCATTTAGACAGATGGGAAAGGAACACACAAGTTTTCCACATGAAGCAGGTATTTTAGGTAAGTAGGAAATGCCCCAAGAAGACAATGATGCTCCCAGACACTTTCAACCCAGTTTTTGTTTTGACAGCAGAGTGCGACTAGATGCCTCCTAATTAATGGAATTTAGAGCAAATATGAGCCATTTATCTTTTTTCCCCCTCTATTCTTTCCTCCCTTAGGATGTTTCTCCTGCTTTTCATTTTGTTTTTGGTGCAACAGTCACTTTAACAATGACAGTATCATTTTTCTTCCTCTGCGTCATCTATTCTTGTTTTATGTTCATGGAACAAATTAAACTTCATTGTTCTCCATATTGTCTCATACACTTTGTTTCCAGGCATAGGAATTTCAGAGCCGCACTTACAAGTTCAGGTTCCTTTGAAAAAGACAACATGATTAGGTCAATGCAATATTATCTATATTTGTAAAAATATATGATGGGCAGGCATTACAGAAACACAGATACCTACACCCATGCAAATCATACTAGACCAGGGGTTCCCAAGCACGTTGAGGCTGTAGGTATATTTGAAAATTTGAGAAACTAGTCTGGGAATGACCACAAAATGCCGTGGAGTATTTGTCTAATCACAAACTGGCTGCCACACAAAATTCCTTAACTGAAAAATACAAGTGACTTGCTGAAGAAAGTGCATTCAATGCAGAAGATGGGTGTCATCCTCATATACCAAACCCCACAAAGCAAACACAGTATTTCACAGAAGTTATAGTAGTGATGCTTAGACACACACACATGTGCATATGCACACATACACATTTGTAAAAACAGACAAAACATGCACACACACGCACACTCAAACATCTCTTTCTCTTTCAAGGATGCACGCACACAGAGCAAGCGAACACTGGACAGAACACTTACAGGTCTGTTCCCACTGCTCATCTAGCCCCAGGTTACTCCCTCATACTCCCTCAGAGCCCCCAAACCTTTCCCTACTGTCCCTTCACAGCACTGCTCCCTACACTCCCCCACAATCCTGCAAAGTCACGTACTAAACAGCACTGGTGTTCCTTTTCATTTCCTTTAAAGGAAATTCCAGCTGGCTGGCTGGACTTGCTCAACAGCAAAGCACCAGCCTCTGGACAGTGGGGCAAGTGGAAGCCAGTGCTTTTCTTTCCAGTGCTGCCCAAGACAACAGCTGCACATAAAACATAAGTACAAGGAGGGGGCAGGGAGCTTTGGCAAATGCATAGGAAATGTCCAAGAGTACCAAGGTGCCCACAAACACCACGGTCATGATGACAAAGAGGGCAAAAAATAGCACCCTTCTCACCCTATCACATAAAACCTAAGAGATTCTGTAACTTATTAATACAATACCCAACAAATGATGAAGAAATATTTGGAAGAAAGGCATAAGGATGGGATGGAGCTCAAACAAACACCATTTTCAGCTCCTCTTCCCAGCTGGCTTTGCACCACCATTCCCCCGCCCCCCCTTGACCTGGCTTCCTCCCTCTCTCTGGTTTTTCAAGGACCTTCGTCTCTGCCCACTGCCTCACTTGCATCCTTATCCAAGGCCCTTGTCTCCTTCCCCTTTGGTCTGCAGATGTAGCCCACTTGTTAGCAAGGTGACGATAAAATAGTATATGGAAATGTGGGATAGACACAGGTGATGCCTTTCCTCCAGCGAGCAATATCCTCTTGCGTCTGTGACTCCTACACTGTCTCCCAGATGTGTTTCCAAAGAGTAGTTGTGTTGGTGTTGCTCACCTCTGTGTGCCCATGTTCATTCTTCATGTTTTGCTTCCTGGCCTGATAAGCAGCACATACCTTATCCTTTTCCTTAATGTAATATGTGTTATTAGGCAAGCAAAATAGGGCTCAGACGTGGGTTGGGATGGCATATTAGCCGCTGATGTCATAAAGGCACTGATGGCTCTCTAAAGCAGGAGAAAAGCAGCAGAATGCTTTTCTAGGGGATTCGAGAGGATCACTCACCTATGCCCCCAGGTGAGTGATCATAGCTTCCCCAGACACTGAGCATTTTGCCCCCCGCCCTCTCAACATTCTGGGGCACATGTGTTCATGGCAGAAATTATAGGGTGGGTTCAGACAATATCTTAAGTGCAGGATGGCAATCTGACCACCCAGAGTTTAGTTGATTGTGGGCCCCCAATGTGCCTAACAATTGGACACAGTGGGAGATAGAAGCGTAGAAAAAAGGCGTCTCTCAGGACATCTAGTCGGACCTGGTCTGCTGCTTGTTCAGCATCGGGGGCTGCTCCTTCATACGGCCACTGTGCCTGGTGGTAACAGGGAGAAGTGCTACTCTCCTGGCCTGTCCCCTGCCCTTGCTTGCTGCAACAGACGAGGGGAGTGGTTTTGAGTGGGTCTCCTCAGAAGGAGGCCCAGCGGAACGTGCCGCCCACTCTGCTCCGCCCCGGCTGTGACGGTGCCACGGTCGCAGGCTGGGGTGGGAGGGGAAGCGTTTGGCTGTGTCTGCGCTGGAGGCGGCTTATCCAGCTGCAGCAGCCCCACCCGCAGCAGCCCACCCACAGGTGGCAAGGTGCCCACAGGAGCTGCAGCAGCTGGGGGCAGGGGACGGAGCCAGTGTTGGAGACAGAGCCCTCCCCTAGTCCATTGGGAGGGAGGGAGGGAGGGAGAGCGAGCGCAGGGCAGGCATCTGTCTGTCAGGTGATCTTGCTGGCTGGGAAAGCAGCGCCCAAGGCCGGTGCTGGGCTGCTGCTGCCTCCCCGCCAAGTGCAGCCCGTCCTCCGCTCTGCCGGGCAATGCAAGGGGAGGAGCTGCCTGCCCCCCCCACCCCCCGCTGTCCCTTCCTCCCAGTGGGAGCTGGTTCTGCTGAGCCTTGCTCTTCAGGAAGGCAAGCGGAGTGGCTGTGTTTGCCCACTGCTGCAGCAGTGGCAGTGGGCAGGACCTAGCAGCTTGGCTTGGCTTGGGTCTCTTCCAAGGAAGCAAGGCTGAGTGGACACCCCCCAGCACCACCTCAGGCCACCTCCCAGGCCCGGAATAGGCTTTGAGTGGGCAGTGTGGGGCACACCCCAGTGGCCTCCCCCATGCTCCTCCCAAGGCCAGGCTGCGGAGAGCAGAGTGGCTCATGAGCGAGCTTTGCCTCCGTCTGGCATCCGCAGGAACACCGAGGGAATTGATGGCAGCCTTGCAGAGTGTTGCTTGGGCACCTGCTGGCTGGAGCCCCTTGACCAGATTGGCCAAGGAGCCACTCTGACCACAGGGCTGTCGAACTTTGCACTGTGGCCATGGCTTAGCACGTTGCCTAGGTTCAGATCACACACTAAACCACAGAAGAGTTTTGTAGACCCCACTACAAGCCATGGCTAATTGGAGTGGTTTATATGTCAGGCAAGGATGCCTTACAAACCTGGGAAACAGACAGGATTGAGATGAGATGCTTAACCGCACATCCATTAGTGTGTTTATGAACTCAGCCACAAGTTTGTTTGGTTTTTGTAATTAAAAAAGGCAAAAAGTTTCATCAATTTTTTAAACATCTGAATCTTCCTGGAAGGGTCTTTGCTTGCCCTCCACTATGTGAAGCTTCTTATCCTCTTTATGTTATGATCAAGCCTGCTTTATATAGGAATCAAAAGCATAACAAATGTAGATGCCTTGAAGAAGTTATTTTCACAGGCCGCCTCAAACTGTTCTTCCCGTCAGACCATAGAAGCACAGAGAACATAGACCAATTGATTCACGGTAGTTCAACATGATTCACTGTGTACCAGACAAATGGGACATGGGGGTGGTCCTTAACCATTCCGTCCCTCGACTTCTCTACTACTCAGGCAGTGAAAGAATTCCATGAGTAGACCCAGTACCAGAGAATGAATACTATATAAGCCATCATACTCTCCTCAAAGTATATTATGCTTTGCAAAGTAGTGTCAGTGTTTTCTGAAGCGCCTGCATTGGCTTATGTGGGTGTTTGACCCCTAGTCAAAGCCAGCTGTGCTCATTCTTAATTTGCTGCACTTCTAACATTTGAGTATCAAGCTTCTTTGACTTGAAGAGAGCTATTAGCCTGGGGACGTGGCCTGAACCAGCCTGATTCACAGCAATCCATCTACTCATGAGCCCTGCTGGGGGAGGAAAGAGTTGAGTCTGGTTATATAATCAAGCAAGCGTTGCCTGAATATTGTGCTCATTCTTTACTCTTGTGGCTTAGGCATTTGTGATCTCATTCACATCTGACTTCATTCCACGCCTCGTATACCTGTATATGTACAGTGAGAGTGGCACCATGCATGGCTTCGTGAACCATACGCTATCCTATTTTAATGTCAGCGATTTTCAAGACGGAACAGCTCCCAAAGATGCAATGGAGCTTGGCTACCCAGTCCAAATATGCAGGTACATCCAATTACTTCTTTCAAATAACTTTTTGTTAGGTCATTCCTTGGGATGTTCACACATGCATGGAACTCACAAGGTTGCCTGTGTAAGTTTCTATGTACTTGTCCTGGGCTCTGTGTGAAGTTGACTGTAGACTAGCTGCTACCATCTTCCACCTGTAGGTGACTGTTCCTTTCTGCACCTCCATCGTTTGTGCACACACTGTCTCCTCTCAGCTGTCACTATGTGAACCTCAGCAATGGCATAAAGCTTCAGCCAGTGGAACCTTAGTTTTTGCAGCTGGGACTTTCTTTCCTGGACACTTTTCTCACAAGTTGAAAGTTGAACTTCTAAGCTCATCTTGCTCTCACACAATCTCAATTTCTTTTGAGGTGCCCCAAAAGGATCTTAATCACATCCCCAGAAAAAATAAAAAAGTAGCCACTTCACTTCACTGTGAAGCAGAGGGTTAGTAGCATTGACACTAACAAGCATGTTAGGGAACACAAGCAGAAACATAATTATCTGCAGGATTCCCATTTGTCTAACACCCTGCTGCAGAAGGATGCAATTACCTATAGCCGTTGAATTGAAAAATAGTGCTGCTTTCCTGTGGTTCCTCTCCCAAGCATTCAGACTCTTGGCACAATGACTCCAGACTCCATAGATAAACCAGCATCAAGCTAGGTAATCAAGAGACATCAGGAAGCTTCTGTTGGTTAAGTGGCTATGGTCACAGAGCAGAGGTCCAGTCAAATTCTGCATTCCCAGGTTGCTTGGGTATTACAGCTGGGCCTTTTTTCTCTTCTGGTCCCAAGTCTGGAACCTGGAGACCTGGATGTGAGATTAGCCTCTGCTGTCCTGTTAGTTGCGCCTGAACATGTCCAGCCGCAAATATAACTTGCTCCACAGGGAGATGTGCCTGGTGCCAATGCATTGTTTGTTTCGGCAGTAGGCCAAAACCTTTTTATTTACCCAGCTTTTAAATTGTTAAATTGTATTTTAATTATTTTATCATAAAGTACTGGCACTAAGGAGTTTTTAATTGAATTAATTGTTTTCAAAAATTTTGTAAATGGTCATGAGATTTTTAATGAATGACAGTATAGAAAAACTTAAAATGAAACTAATAACAAATAGTGGGTTTGTAAGGCACTGGCTGGGTTCCCACAACATGTTAAATCCTCTTTTAAAGCAAAGGGTATAGAAAGCACCCTTTGCAGCAGAATCCTTGCATTTTTGAGGATTGCTCATGTGGCCTTGGACTGCCATCACTTTCTCACACACTGATAACACAGAGAGTCAAGGACTTCCTATTTATTTATTTATTTATTTATTTATTTATTTATTTTTCGATTTGTATCCTGCCTTTTTCCTACAAAGGACTCAAGGCAGCTTACATCATTCTCCTCCTCCATCTTATCCCCACAACAACAACCCTGTGAGGTAGGTTGGGCTGAGAGTCTGTGACTGGCCCAAAGTCACCCAGTTGACTCCATGGCTGAGCGGGGACTAGAACCCAGATCGCCTGAGTCCCAGTCCCATTCTCTTAACCACTACACCACACTGGCTTTAAAAAAGACCAAACCCAAGAACCTGTAAAAAGAAATTTTGGGAGCACCCCTCACCTCTCCCCCACTTCTAAGTACGAGCCCCAGGGTTTTGCAGGGTTCTAGGAAGCTCCAACTGTCTTCTCAGTTTTGCAATTTACCCTGAGTGGAAAGCTCTTTAGGAAACCACAAACCTGAGGGAAACCCTGATGGGGCAGAGGGAGCGGAGAAAGGCTTGTGATTTAGAGGCACAAGTCTGCCTCCTCACATGGATGATAACTGTGTCTCAAAGTACCCCACTTTCAACATTTGGGGGGCACCTGAGGCAGCAGACCTTGTCCAAAGAAACTGGGGATCACCTGCAAAAATGGGGAAACAGCCTCTTAGCACAAAGTACATCTCCCAGTCATCCTTTACAAATCAGCTCCATGGAAGTGGAGTGTGGGGGGGATTTATTTATTTTTATGGTGTATCTCTGGGCATCAAAACAGGTTCTGGGAAAACCCCTTTATTTAAAAAGGAAAAAAAGTGGTAACAGCCTTTCCACCACTCTTCCCAAGAGGTTCTTTGCTTTTTCTAACTTATCTAGTTTCCAATCACACAATAAGCTCTGGTGGGTTATTAAACTCTACTACAAGCCTCAGTAGCTTTGAGCCATCCCAGGGAAGCTTCCAAATCATCCTGAGGAAAAAGTTCTGGGTTCAGTCAGCAGGCCAAATTACCATGGCTTGTAAAGCACCACATCTCAAAATGCTGTGCCTGCCTGGTCAGTGTGTAAAGCTGTGACCCTTCACAAGTTCTGAAGCCAAAAATAATCTCCGTCAATAAGCAATCCAAATTTTCCCTCTTGAGTGAAAAACAGGCTGCACAGACAGGCCCTAAGCTGTTCCCCTTGGCTCCCTGCACTGAAATGACTCGTCCACTTCATCCTCCTTCTGTCTCCGGCCTCAGCCATCCTGTAAGACAAGCTGCATCAGGATGTCCTCCACTGCATCCCATACTTCAGTACATACGTAGTAACACTCCCTGTATGTTATGCTCCCAGCACATGGGTTTTCAGACTTCCCAGTCCTTCATCCAACCTTTATTTTTTAATGGCTGCTAGACCATTCACCCTAAAACCAGTCTTTTTCTAGATAAGAATTCCAGTCAGAACCAGCTCTTTCTGTTGCAAAATGTGGGAAGCTTGGTTTGCTTTGATGCCCGTTTTCCTTTACCAAAGGGACCAAGGAAGAGCTCCTAAAGTAACGTGGCTGCTGCTGCTACTGAAATCCTTCCATAGGGACCTGTTACAATCCCCACCCACATATTCCCTCAGTCCTTTAAAAATGGGGCAGAATCCACATGTGGCAATATACTACCCACAACCCTTGCATTGCCCCTTGACCCTCATGTTCTTTATTGAGGCCAAACACAGCAGCTGTGCTACTGCATATAAAAGAAAGATGGCCCCGGCAAAACTCCCACCCTGACATCCTCCATGGATACATTAGTCCTACTCAAGCAGCCTGAATTTTATTGGCCATCGGACAGCTGGTAAAAGCTTTTTCCTCGTTATACATTTCATGAGTTTTGTTTTATTTCTGTTTGGAATTGTTTCAGTGTGCTATGTTTGTGGTGATTCCAAAATATTTTAAATAAAAATAACCAAAGGCTCCATGCCTTCCTCTGATTGCAGGTCTCATGAAGCCCCAGGAGCCAAGGCAAACCTGGGTGCAACTTTGGCTGATGCAGGCCTGAGGCTTGCAAGACCCCACAAATCCTCCTCTTTTGTTCCTTCTCCCATCACCAGCAACCTTTTCCTTTTCTCCACATGGAAAGAGAAGGGATAATGTCCAGTTATTGCATGTGATCAGCAAGATTACACTGCTTAGGTTGCTTCCGAAGAAGGGTTTTATTGTGCCACCATCCTGCCTCGTCCCCAGATTACTACCAGGGATTCAGACAACATTGGCTTCCACTTGTAACCCACCACTTTTTCTGCCTTTCCACACACACACACGCGCAAACCCACAGTACTCATTTAGGAAAAAAAGATGGAACAGCTGCACAACTGGTAGCACTTGGAACAGTCCATCCAGAAGCAGCCTTAATTTCTAATCTACTGTTACATTTGGAAGCATATTCAAATATTGTTTGAAAGAATCTAATATGGATTTTTTCCTATAAATTTAGTGCCCCTCATTACACAGATACCTGATATTAAAGAGGACATCCTGTATTTGGAGGCTTTAGCTCATCACTAACCTTCCATGGAGTAAGCCCTTTCCGAACAAGGACAGGTGTATGCAGGCACACGCACCTTATTGCTAAAACTTTAACAACTTGAAGACAAAGATGCCAACTGGGCGTATGCTAAGAGTGCAACCAAGCAAACTAATTTTGTCAAGATGTCAGCAGCAAATTCAGTATGCCATGTGTCTATTGTCCTACTGCTTAATTTATCCTAAACAGAGAGTATCATTGTGTGAACATGTTTTAAATTGAGTCAAAATTGTACTTCTTGAGAAATGTTCTTCTGTAAAAACGAAGAACCTACTTGAAGATAAAGCATGGGGTGTGGCGGGGGGACACTTTGCAAAAGCTCCTGCGGGCTGCATTCCCTTGGAGGACAGGGCCCATGATAAAAGGCATGGGGCAAATTGCCAAAGCTACCAGTGTATTTTAGCCTAAAGTTTTTACCACCAGTAACCGAGCCTCAGCAGAAACATTTCAGCCTTTTATAACAGGAAAAAACCTGCACAGAGGCTTAAAAACCATCTGGAAGGCCAGAGTTGACCCCTAGGCTTGAGGTTCTGTACTCCGATACAGCCTTTTGATGTCTGATACGTTATGATTCCCAGCCAGAACCTGCTGATTCTCAATGGCATCCTGTTTTTCAGGTACAAAGATTATAGAGAGCCTCCATGGTCTGAAGATAAATATGACATTGCAAAAGATTTCTGGGCTGTGCTTGCGGCAAGATTAGCATTTGTAATAGTCTTCCAGGTAAAGTATAACCAAGCTGCATTGATACACCTTTCTGTAACATAAGGTAATAACAATGAAATTAATCAAAAATTAGCCAAGGGACTCCAAGCAGTACTTTGAGAGAATTGTCACTGGCTGGATATCCCTTGCCACAACTGCAAGTCCTTTTTCACTCATCATGGCTTCCCCCACCCCCTTTACATTTCTTTTCCCTCAGCAATCACAGTCTCCAATTTGACAGCCAGTTTTTGTGACCTCCATTTTGACAGTCACTGACAGCCCAGCTGGTACACTGGAAGAATTTCCAATGGTTGGCATATTAAAAAAAATTAAAACCCACATTTAGCAACACTTGTACAACCACAGATCTCTGTCATTCTGCAGGTGTGAAAATAAACCTAAAGATGCTCCAAATAAGGTTATTTTTCCTTAACTTTGCTTTCTTTTGGTGGCTGTCATATGTAGGCTGTCAAGAGCTGATCTTTGTGAAAAGAGTATGGTGTTATATAGAGTTAATAGGCCAATGAGTATTTTTGACAGGGATATATATAGCTATAGGTATATATGTCCCTGTCAAAACAATGCTCATTTCCCCATCAAAATCCACTTTTAAAAGGAAGTCTAAGTCTGTATACCCAAAAAATGGATTAAACGAACTTTTTGGACTTTCCCAAACAGTTAATGTCTTGCGGGATACAGAACCCTGAAGACAGACAGGGCACAAAGGAAAAGATGAAGACCTTGCCACAAAGGGGAGTAAATCTTACTGTACCCTTTTCACAAGCCAAGTTTTGCTTTCGATAGTTTTTGAAAATGTATCTGTCTACATTCCTGCCAAAAAAAAATAAATAAAATTATTATTAGCATTTCTTTTCACCTGAAAACTGTGTTAGGTACATTCAGTCTCTTATTCAGTATAAAACTTCAAAAGATGCCTGTGTTTTCCAGTATAAAGATCCCTGTGTTCTTAAATCCACAGTACCTAATTAAGCCATAAGACTAATCTTGTCACTGAGCTTGTACTTTGGGCTCAGAAATCTAGTTCAGGATTGTCATAATACTGTCCACAATTATAATGATAACTTCATTTTTAGTGGCTAAATTCTTGATCTGAGCCAGAAAAGAATTCTTCTCTGACCCCTTCCCACCCAACCTGGCCTCAGATGTACTTTTTTGCTTCTTTTCAAACTACTTCTTCGACTGACTTAAAAAGAGGCTGGAAGAGGAAAGGGAAGGAGTGCTTCCCCCACCCCCCTCAACTCTGCATCTGGCAACTAGGCACTTATACTATTTACAGTTCCCAGAGACTGCTTGTGGCCTTGTGCCACAGAGGAAAGAAGGAAGAGGATTCCCTCCTTTTCCTTTATGTCATGCCAGCCCCCACTGAGGTAAAGAGAAGCACGTCAGGCCTCATTTTTATATAGTATTAAAGCATATTTAAGCCACCATTCAACCCTGTGGATATCAGGACTGTCTCCAAAGCAAAATGCATAACAAAACAATAAAACAAAATCCTCCTAATAAAACAGTTGCGAGACAGCTAAAACAGCAGAACAAATAAAGAGAGTTCAGAGCAGGCCAAATTCAGGTTGCTGTGGAACTAACACAAGTTGTTTCAGAATTCCATAGGAATGGAGCTCAGCCTCTGGTCTGAGCTGGTGGTGAGCTTTGCCCCTCAGTACCTTAAACATGAAGATACATGGATCTGCCTGCATCAGCTTCCTACATCATGAATCCAAAGTTGAAAAGTGTTTGGGGTCTTGTTAGAAAATACACTTTTTATTTTTATTTTATCTTGCATAGCCTTCATATATGAAGATGTAAAATAACAGAAAATAAAATAGTGTACAGACACATTGATGTTTTTCATCCACAAATAGCTGGCTTGATCAGGGCCCTTAGGAACCTGTGTCCTTGTATATTTTGGACAAAGATGTGTATTGCACATTAATTTCAAACAGCTGTGGTTTCTAAAAATTGTTTTGTACATATCAGTCTTAATCCTAGAAGTAATTTGCATTGATTTCGTTGGAGTATTTTGCAAAGCAAGTTTGTTTAGGAATGTAAATTTAAGACAGCATCGCCCAGTTCCCACAATCTAATAACCATGCTTGACATGCTTAGTATGTTGTGTGTGAGTACACAGGAGCAAGCGAGCAAGCAAGCTGTCTCCCTCCCACCCACTTTCATGTATCTAAACAGTTCGTGAACGCTCCTTTCCTGGGTTGGTGTCATGACATGCAGACTTAATACTCTAGGTTGTTTTGGTTTAAATAACCAAGAGTTGTGGTTAGGTTAAAACTCCAAGTTGTTAAACCATAAACAGTCCAGAGTGACACACTGGGATGTCATACTCAGAATGGGCTGTTCTTGTGTTGTGGATTATTGTTAATGGGATGCTGAAGTTGTGAGTGCAAGGGAGCCAATGCGCTCACTCACAGCTGTTGAAACAATCCAGAAGTTGATATGATGTGTGAACTGGGTCATTCCCTTGCCAGTTAACCACTTTTGAATTTCTATTTATTTCTGTGGGCCTATATTATATATGTATTTAACCTTACTCTGAAATCCATGGGATATCAAAGGGTTTCATTTTGACTGGCCTTCATTTTGACTTTGGTACCATTTTTTTTTTTCAAACTTTGTATTTCAGAACTTGGTTATGTTTATGAGTGACTTTGTGGACTGGATTATCCCAGACATTCCTAAGGACATTAGTCAGCAAATTCATAAAGAGAAAGTTCTAATGGTGGAAGTCTTCATGAAAGAAGAACAGGGAAAGCTGCAGCTTCTAGAAACCTGGAGAGACAAGGATAAAAGGAAAGGTGAAAAATGTAACAACCATAGTCCCAGGTCGTCGATGAGTCATAGAGGAAGCGTGTCTTCCTGTCATTCATGCCACACTGATGTGTAGAAGAAGAAGCTGTTTTTATGCCTGGGCATTCCATTCATAAACAAGCCATTACTTAAACAATAGAACTTGATACTTTAACAAGAATCAAGAATCTTCTGGTGCATGTTTAAGCATATGCAGCCATTTTGCTTATATCTATGTGAGAAATCATATTCTTACAAAAATGGAGGACCATATTTTGTTTCTGACTAGAAATTATTATTTTTTGCACAAAAAGTAATGCAGGGATTTTTTTACACACACATATATAGATATTACATTGTTCGCTTATAACTATCACTGTTTTTATTTTAGAAGGAGGAAGCACTCTGTAGGCTATTCTCTGAGAATTTTATTTTAGCTTATTTATTGAAAAATGACAGAGGTAAGAATCAGATTAGAAGTATTGCTACAATAATGGGCTCCCCATTCCTGATAAGCTATATGGGAGTATTACAATATGCAAAACAAAACAAAAAACAGTATACTGTGGAGTGCTTCCTTAAAAAGCTCTGGCTAAAAAGCTCTGGACTTAAATCTGCCAACCTGTTGTGAGCAGAATCCATGCCGAATCTCCCTGGCTATCTTCTGAACACACTGTTTTTTCTTACGTGCAAGCAGTGGCAAGAATATTTTATTTTTCATCTGGGGCTCTTGCCTCAGCAGAATTCTATTAATCAGTTTGGCTGCACTTCACTCACTCTAATGAACAAAGCAATTGGAGTAGAATTGCTACCTTCATCCAAGTGCTCCGGAGAGCAGCTCACTTGAATATCTTTCTTCTCAATGTGAAAGATGATGGATTTGTGAGAGGGCATTTAGTTCACTAATCTAGAGTGTGTCTAGTGCACATTCCGGAGGGGTCAAGAGGACAAGAAAGAATACTAGCAACAGCACAAATTTCCCCAAGCACGGAGGGGCCTTTTTAAAAAGTGCCCTGAATCAAAGAGCACATGTAGAACTACTGGCAAATCACACTGCCCACCACAAACTTAGAAGCCTTGGAATAGACTGTATAAGTGTATTCTCTGAGCAGTTGTGCTCCCATGTTATCCATAGCAGTTACAGTCAGAAGCCCTCTATCTGCGGATGTAACATCATTTCCACCATCATAGCTCACCGCATCCTTCAGTGCATCAATTTATAACCCAGCAGCCTGATTCCCCAATAAAACATCCAGATATTCTTACTTATCTCTCTTGCTCTCCTTTACAGCAGAATGATCAAAAGGTTGAAGTACCTTCTCCATGAGCATTTGAAATGTTTTACTTTTAAAAAAATAAATGTTATACAAGTTTATACAGTAAGGAAAGGCATGGAGATAGTGAATACAGGCAGCTTTGTACTCTTTCTTTCACCATACTAAAACTCAGGGCCACCCTGTGAAATTGTTCAATGGTAAGTTCAGAATAGGCAAAAGGAAATGTTATTTCACACAATAAGTAATTCCCTTATTGAATCTCCTACCATAGGATTTGGTGATGGAGAGAAGTTTAGCTGACTTTTAAAGTGGATTAGGCAGATCTACCGTGAGCACAGGTCTATCAATTGCTGTTAGCTCTGATAAATAAATAAAACACCCATGCTCAGAAGCTAGGTAGCTCTGAATTTGATGTGCTTGGGCTAGTCAACAGGAAGGGGCTGTTGCTTTTATACCCTGCTTGCAGACCTCCAGAAATATCCAGTTAGCTGTTGTTGGAATCAGGATGTTGGATCTACAGTCTGATCAAATAGGGTGATGGGCTTGCTTAGTCATCTTTTTAAGGGCACATGCAGAATCTGTTTAAGGAGGTTAAAGTAAGCCCCGGCTTATTTTCCTAGAAAAGTTACTGTGTGTCTAAATCCATTTATATTCAATTGAAAATAAGAACCAGAAATGATCTAGTAGAATTAAGAACCATTACAGTTTTCTACAGGGTAAGATTCCTCTGGGCTAATATCAGTTGTTGGCATTCTTAAACAGGAACCCCAAAAATGGTAATGAAAGGGAGGAACCATGTGGACTAGTTTTGCATCTATCTTTCCTCTCTGAACAGCTAAAGCTGAAGGCCCTAAATTGGCATTAAGCCTGCTTTGCAGGAACAGCTGAAGTATGAGGGAGAAAGCATAACAGAAACTGTGATGGGTAATGGTACCTTATAGAATCTGGTATGGAGAAATTCCTAAATATTCAAAGATCTTTGAGGGCTGGTTTTTCTTTTTTTACTGATGAAAAATCAAGATACCCTTTGGAGTTTGGGTGAATATGGGATAGCATTTTCCTTGTATTATTACATTTTGGACCAGGTAATCCTGCTCCAAAAATATCTCTTAATTTTTCTAGTTTATTAGATTATATGCCTTTTTCACATATAAAGCAACACTACCCCAATATACCCCTCCCTGGCCTTTCTATGTAATATATATTCAGGAATACTGGTATCCCACCAGTTCTATCCATTCCAGTGGTTTCAGATATATGTTGTTTTTTAGCACCAGGTGCACCAGTTCCCTTGTCTTGGCCTGAAGGCATTTAATATTAATGTGTACGTTCTTTATACTACATCCCTTGTTTTAAAAAAGTGTGCAATTTCTCTTATGACCAAATGGAGCACCATGAAGAAAGATCCTTTTTCCATATGTTGATGTAATATGTATTACAACAGAACACAGTAGCTTCACTCTAGTAACAGCCCTGTCCAGTCAAACCAGAAACAAGATCCTGGCAAGGAACACCTACATAGCTTTTGAGGTTGGTTTTCACTTCATGTTTTGTACCAGGGTATAGATAACCAAGTACGAAATACACATGCCTCTCATCAAATTTGAAGGGCATACATATGTTAAATTTTATGTATACTTCCATATATTTGGAAACAGCAGATGAGATTGGACACGATCAAGGTTCACAGAAACCATATAGCACTTTTGAGGGTTTAGAGTTCTTGAGACATATTACTTTGTTGAAAAACAAGAGAAGCGTATTTTGTACACAAACATTAGTGCAACATATAAACAATAGTAGTAGCCAGCATGTAACACATGCCGAGGGGCTACCAACCTCCTTTGGTGCTTTTAGGCTGTATATATCCAGTTCCTAGAATGAGGAAAGAAAACGCAGGGGAAATCAGTGTAGGGTTTGCTAGGCGACCATCGCATCCACTCCATGCTATTGCCAAATATTTGGGAGCAGCTGGCACTGGTGACAGGTTCTGGGAAGCCAAAGCACATGACAACATTCCTTCCAGTGCCAGCATCCGGGAAATGTAACCCAGGAAGGAGGGTCTGGATTACAAGTTCTAGACCTAGAACATCCCTGCCAGAACTGCAGTTAAATATAGTGTCAGGTCTACTGTTTTGGACAAGAGTTACGGAGTTGCTGTGACACTATGGTATTACAGATAAGGTAAGCACATTGATGCAGATGGACACACACATGAAAATAAAGCAAAAATGGTAACCCTCCCCCCCCCAGGGAAAAATGAAAAGTCTTTGCTTTTAAAAACTGTTCATATATGTGTGCTCCTAAGAATGCATCAGTTCCAGCTTACCTACACACTCTATGCAGCTGTATCTTAGGGGAAAACCTGTGACTTCAGTCAATACAAATTTAATGTATAGTACTGTCTTCCTATGTATGAGCTGTAGCACATAGTATATTATACAAATTATTCATGTGTTGTATAAGTTGAAGGTGAAATTTAGTTTTAATAGCGAATGAAATTAGAAATAATTTTAGATCAGTTTTATTCACAACTGCCAAAGTCTGGCAATATATTGCAAGTTAACCTACTGTATGGTTTGTTACAAAACCAAACATGCAAGACTGTTATATACCAATAAACATTTGCTGCAAAATAATGTAAAATAAAATCAAAATCACTACACAGTTTTTAATATTTATTAGTTTCAGTATAAAGTAATGAATATTGTAATGAATTCAAGCCTTTTTAATATAATTTGTCCACAAAGCTCCTTATGTGGAAGTGAATTATGTTAACAAAATACTGTCCAAACATGTTTAAAATATCAACCTAACCAAAGATTGTTCTTAATAAAGGGCTTATTTTGTGTATAACTGCTTCTTATATACTGAATTGCAGGAATGTCACTTTTAACTAATAAGAATAAGAGTAATTAGGAAAAAATAATAATTGTAGCCAGCCTTGTCTGCCATTTCTGACTTCAGGATTAACATAAGACAATACAGTTTGTTTTTATTTGACTTTATTCAACAGTTGCCTTTGGAAATAGTAGGAGCTTCTTACAATATGGAACAGCTTCTACACATGTAGGTTGGCACTTCTGCCAACCTATAAGATGTGGCCCATGTGTAGTATGAACAAAGCATTATTTGTCACTTGAAAGGTGACTCCATTTGGATATTACATGAAATTTTTCATTGCACACCACTCCCTGAATTTGGATTAAAATGTTCTGTACCAGAATCAAAAGTCCTCTGTGTAGTCACAAAAACCACCAGTTTGTTTAATGTAAAGACATTTCTTAAACCTTCACTTAGGCAATAGCATTCAAATTATGTTAGGACTGACCACTCAGAAATGCTAATCTGTACAGGTAGCATTACGCACAGAACTTTACACTAAACTGTTGGCCAACAATGTCAGTTTTGGCAGTGTTCAACATCTGTTAGATTGAGAAGGAATGCCAAATAATCCATCCCATCAACACCCAGTACAGAAGGGGGTGTATACAGATGCAAATTCTAGTTGAGAAACTGTTAACTGCATTACATGGGCACATGTGCAAACTTTTTCCATGGAACAAACTTAGGGGAAGCCTTTTCTGATTTCCAGGGGAAGCCGGATTTGCACTGATTGGATGTTTCTTGTGTCAGTCAAAGAACAAATCCCCTGCTTCTCCTGCAGCCATTTTTAAAGGGTGAAACAAAGTATAATTGTGTGTTTGAAAACAAGAACAGCAGTCTTGACACATGAAACAGGTGCAATTGGAAGACATTAGATCTAGAATCTATGCAGCTGCACCTTAAGGTAGAAAGACAGGAGAAGCAGAACTCACCTGACAGCAGAGGATCCTGTGCCCAATTCTGTTGTCATAAATGTCTGCACCTGACAATAGGACTTCTTGATAGCACATTTAGACATTTGCAGCAGGGGTGGGTGAAGGGCAGATCTCTCCAGAAGCACTTGCCAGCCTGGCCTTTGGTCAGGAATGGTGGCACTCGAAGTCTGCAACATCAGTGCAAGACATGATGCATTCCCCCACAAAACAGAGACAGGACTGTATTTATAAGAGCGGACTACATAAGAGAGCCTGCTGTATTAGGATGAATATCAGTGAAACAGAGACATAGTAAAAAAAGATAAGAGGTGTTTTCCTCTTCTTTTCACGAGGAAGAGTTAATCCCTTTTTAATGTTCATCTTATTGTTCTCTCTGGCTAGTTTACATTCATGTAAAATGTATACTTTAGCTTTTATGCCCCATTATTTTCATTAGATGAATGTACTACACAACCATAAAAATTGTATAGTCCATTTCATGCTTGATCAACTCACAATTTTAAAAGTGGATGGATGGCCCAATGTAGTAATATACTCTGAAAAAACAGCGCAAAATAAAGAAATTGTAATGAATGATCTTGAAATGTTGGCCTAATACTGACATTCCTGTAAATGCTATATACTTAGAAATGTTCATTAGTTTCTGAGATCATTAAATAATAACAACTGCTTATGCTTGTTTTATAGTTTCTTTTGTACTGCATTTTTTTGAAAAAGGGTTTTGTATATAATGCTGTATTACTACCTAGAAAATTATATAATGCTCCTTTTCATGGAATTTTTTAAGAAAAGTAAATGCATAAAAAGCTGCTTTAGTTTTTTGTTGAATATTTATTTGTATAACTAATATCCATTCATTTTCCCTTTCAGACAAATGTCATTCACATCATTCTATAGGGGTCAAAAGAAAAAAAGTATTGTTGAACTTGGGACATGTAATAAGTCAATGAAAGATGACTTTGTTTTAAATTTGGGGAGGCAGCACTTCATACAACTTTGCTGCTGCTACCTACAGTGCCTTCAGACAAGGCTGTTTTCATGCAATCTCCTTGCCTCAAGTCATCAAATTTTATAGCAGGTCCAAGTACAGTAAAACCTTGGATTGCGAGCATTCGTTCCGGAAACATGCTTGTAATCCAAAGCACTTGTATATCAAAACGAATTTCCCCATAAGGTTCAATGTAAATAAGGTTAATCCGTTCTGTAACTTTTTTTTTTTAATCACAAAAATTTGAAGTGGGCGCGCTTGGGGGGGGGAGATGGGCACGATTGCAGGCGCGCTCGGGGGGGAGGCGGGTGCGATCGCGGGGGCGCTCAGGGGGAGGTGGGCACCATCGCGGGTGCACTTGAAGTGGGGAGGCGATGCTGTACTCAAACCCACAGCGAGAGAAGAACCAGGGCTCCGTTGTGACATTGTGCTCGGCGGGCAAAGCACGCGTAATGCTCGTACTGCAAGACATCACTCATTTATCAAGTTAAAATTTAGAAAAACTTTTTGCTCATCTTGCAAAACACTTGCAGACCAAGTTACTCGCAATCCAAGGTTTTACTGTAATGTCATAGTGCATGTGTAACTTTCCCATGCTTTGCCCACTATTTCTTCCATCATTTTTCTTTTCACACAAAAAAATTGTTAAGGAGGAAAAGACAGAATATCAACAAGATGCCTTTTGATTGGTAGTGTTAGGACCCATCAATCTAGGAGCACCCCTATGGAAAAATTACAAAGCCTTATGGCACCTTACAGGAAAAAAATTGCCATAAGCTTTCCTAGTCAAAGGAAACTTACACTAGAATAAATTAAGTTTGTTAAGGTGCTGCAAAACTCTTATTGTTGCTGTAATTATTAACAGGTTGTCCTCTGGAATCTGTGGGGGCAATAGTTCTGAGCAGAAAGGAGCAGATCACCCTTGATTTAAAAAATCTGAACATAATAAGTATAAATATCAATACAGCCTATGTCATTCCTTTCTTGGTGTTGTATCATGCTGTTCGGATAGTAATCTGTGGGAATTTCTTCCTTCCAAAATTACAAAGATACTTCCTACTATCCCCTTCACTCTGCCTTACTGATGGAGCCATGCATCCATGGAAACAAACTTCTGTAGCCGGTAGCCGCCTTCCTCAAATGCCACTGCCTTTATCTTGATGGTATCTACATCAGGCACTCCCCTTGTTCCTTCTCAAAATGATTTTACAATTTGAGAATGCTTCAACAATATTACACACTTTGCAACAGGAACTGTAAAATAGGAGAGTAGCAACCCACCCAACCACCCCTGCAAAGGACAGACAGACAGACAGACCACTTCTAGAAACCAATGTGTGTTTTAATTTCCACTACTATGATAGTCATGGAGTCAAAAAAACCAGGACACAAATTTTCTCCACCACCCTGCATTGCCCCTATAGGCCATGATAAATCTAATAAAATTATATGATACAGTAATGTATTTGTATGCTTAAAATCAAGATCAGCTAATATGCTATTTACCTTACTTGTAGGATACATTCAGCTTAACTATGGAAGCTTTCTGTTCAGAGATGGTGTGCCAGGTGGGAGGTGCTTTGAATGTGGGGGTGCCCCTTTTGAATAATTGAGTAAACCAGCTTGTAAGTTGGAAAGCAAACACTGACATAGACAGTTATGGCCATGGTGTCCATCCAAGTGGCTATTTTTGCCATTTTGTTTGTTTATGAAAGAGTATAATTTACATAAATACTTTCTACTTGTCAAGATTTTTTCATGACTTATTAAGCTGCTTTGCACATCGTAACAAATTATGGGTTAATTAATGTGCAATTTGCCCTGGTGCTTACTGTCTACATGCCACTACCATTCTGAATATGCAACCTCCAGTCAGCCCAGCTGAAGGTCGCTCAGCAATGTCTGAATCCCAGTGGTGCAAACAACTGGAACAAACTGCTATTTGTCAGGTTACTAAAGTTTTTTTACGCAACCATATGCATTGCTAAGCAAATGCCCACAAACTGCTAACGCTTTTCATGTCTTGGGCAAGAAGAATGGCCCTCCTATAGATGTACTGAATCAAATTAAACACTGATAAATTGTTTGTTGTGCTGGAGGCACTGTTAAATATTAGAAGACTGATAAGAAAATGAATGAAAGTTGATAGGCTTCAGTTGCTATTCCCCTTGCAAGTAAAGACAGGTTTTGTTGTCGTGTCTTGCAAGTGCCGGTCTAAAGACTGGCTCGTTTTATAAAAGATTATTCAGCAAAATAAACTGAAAAACTGTACTGCCAAAAGAGAAACAAAACCTTAAGCTGTGATAGAGACAAGAACTTGCTATCCTCTTCACAGTGTCCTGCACAGCGGATCCGCTGCTCAGTATCTAAAGGGTGTTGTCTGCAGGGCTGTAAAAGTCCATTCACCAACTATAATATAAAAACCAGACAATCAGAGTGCAAACTCAGTACTGAATTTGTAAAATGGAAAGGATGAGGTATGTTGGTTTCTTTGGTGAAACAGTCATGCCAACCAGAACTTGAAAACGTGGGAGGTTATGGAAATGTCTAGCTGGAACATTTGGCTTAACAAACAACACCAAATATATGCTAACCTCTGCCAGGATTGTGAGAAAGGCACAGCCTTCTGTTTGACACAGAAAGAACTTGTACACCCTATTCTGCTGGTGCTGCCTGAGTAACCCTATTTGATTTCCGTAGCACTGTGTTTCTAAGATACTGCTATACAAATAATTGGTAACCTTAAGTTGTTTGAAAGTAAATATATTCATTTAAAGACAAATGTATGTACATGCTTTAACCCTTCTCTGAACCACAGTATATTATTTATTTATTTGCTTGCTTTTAAACTACCAAATAACCAGAGTTTCCTGGGTGGAGTACAGTACATTAAAACCATACAGCAGAAACATTAAAACAAAAAATTAAACCAAGGTAAGAGCAGCAGAAAAGAATAAACCATTCCAACATCATCGCACCAAATTAAAACCAGCAGCAGGATAGATAGATACTAAAAAGGCTAAGAACAGTTAAATGCCTGAGAGAATATACCCATCACCTATTGCCAGAAAGATTATAAGAACAACTTAACGTCCAGGTAAGAAAATATGGTAGGAAATACTCTTTCAGATAACTTGGACCCAGTCCATTTAGGGTTTTATAAGTCAAAGGCAGTATCAAAGGAAGCCCATCTTCTGCTGACAATTCACAGTCTTTACCATGGGTCAACTAAATGAAGGCTTCCTCTACCAATACAATAAGTGTCAGTTGCTTCATAAGTAAATACGGGACCAGGACAATGTGACCCAGATTTTCTGGTCCCAGGCACTCCATTCCCCCTTTCAGATTTGGGCCAGAAACAGGAAGGAAAGTTGCATGAAAGGAAGTAATAAGCAAGCACAATCTGTAATATTGAACAACACCAGCACTGATCACAGAGTATGTCAATTAAGTCTGTTTCCCTTTTTGGGGGGCAGGGGTGGGTTCTTTGGACCAGTCCTGGGCCAACTCTTGGCCAATGCTGCTCTCAATTCAGAGTCTCTGTGGACCAGGAATCCTATTAAATTTCCTTGCATCCTTGGCACATGCTAAACTGCACCTGCATATGAAGACTAAATCACAAGGAAAAAATTACAGCCTACTACAATTCAGACTGCATACACCTCAGGGATCACTTCCTATCATTTTCTGACAACATCCATGTAGGGCTAAATTCAACAACAAATCTTTCAGTTTAATATATGTTAAGGGCTTTCTGTGTTCACTCAAAATGCTGGGAAATTAATGCCTGTTAATGGCCCCACTCCGATAAGACATGTTATTCAAGCAATATGCATTTGGTGGTTTGTTCTTGCTTGCCATGTTGCAAATGGTTGGTTCTCAATGGCACCATGGTGGAGCAAGGTCCCAGATTTGCCTGTTCACTGAAACAGACACATGTGGAATGTGCAACTGAAGCTCTGTCATTACAGGTACCCAACTGGCAACCAATACTGTCTTCACAGATCAACAGAGTTCTCCATTATGGCTGGAAATGATGGAAGTTGCAGTCTAGTATATCTGGAGGTTACCTGATGGAAGAAGATTGCCTTACCACTTCTGCCTGTGTTCCATCTTTTAACTACAGTTAGTTGTACTGAAACCAGTGGCAATCAAAAACAAAAAGAGACATGGTTATCTACTTTTAAGATAAACTTGGAACACAAGTTTGGAACACAGACAACATTTTCCACAACTGAGGTTTAATATGAAGTTTGAGATTGTTGGCAAAACAAAAATAATGTCCAATTTTAAAAACAGGAGGGAGGGAGGGAGTTAAGTAGAAAATGTGGCCTGAAAGAATTGCTTTTTATTCGTTATTTTTTATTTAGCATGAGTAATCAGCCTCATCATATCCTGTGCTTTTTATTGACAAAACTCAAGATAACATACTGCTTACGAAAAGACTAGGCAACTCCCTTCCTTGCAGAATTTTAACAAAGCACAAATCTTCCCATTTCCTGAAAAGGAGACATGATGACTCATGACAAAGAAGGAAAGGCTCTTCAGGTATTTACTTGTATTGGGACCATATCCAGACAATGTACAATCTGTACCCTAACCATGACTCAAACCAGAATTAAATTGCTCCCATTCTCTGGTTCAATGATAGCTCTGTCTCAACTGGTGCAACTGCTTTTGCCACTGAGGGAGATGGAGAAAGACCACCACCAAAACCTCAACAGACAAAATATA